GGCTTTTATAATTCTAAATTTTGTCGCGAGTTTGACAACACGTATAACAGAATTGTAAGGTATAGGTACATGGTCAGAACGTCAAAAAATGCTAAGAGCAACAAGCCAAACTTTTCTCACTATCATTTAAACATGAATATAGATAGATAATAAATTCTTTCAAATATTTATATAACTAGTCGCATCATAAATCAAATTCCAATAATTTGATAAGTTACTTAGAGCTTTAAGCATGTACTTGTTCTTGGTTCTTGTTGATTTTCCTAAATGAATGCAAAAGATAGCAAAGTAAATAGTAAACGTGGAATGAGCCTCTATATGATGAAGTAATGCTTGTACAAATATAAAATAACAAGCACTTTCAGTGAATTAGAGCTAATTTATACATTTATTATTCATGACAACGCTCGTGATATAAACTTTCAAAGTAGTACATCTATCATTTTAGTACTGGTATCAGCGACATCGATCTAGTAAAAGATAACAGGTAAATGCTTTGTATTAAATGATATTGTGTATTTTTATACTAGTGAAATACAAAATAGGTACGATTGCGTGCATGTGCGTAGCACAGTTCAAGTGATGTATGTTTAACGTTTCGCATTTAACCGTTGAGCGCTCATTCATAAGCTTTTATAACATTTTTTGGCTAAATCTTATGTCTTTAGCAATATATCTTTCAAAGGTTTTGTAAAGAATAAATTTTACGTCCTTCACAATGTCAATTAAAAATGGAATGCATGTTTTCTGGGCGCATGAAAACATGAGCCCAACAAAATTGACCTGCTCACCACTGTGTGACTTCATAGCTCAGTTGGTCAGAGCACTGCACCGGCACCGCAGAGGTCATGGATTCGAATCCTGTTGAGTCACCTGAATTTTTCAGGTTCATGAGACAATTGCTTAAATTGTCCAGCAAAGTGCGAAGGTCATATCTACATTTAATTTCAAACACCGCACTGCATAAATCATTCTTTCATATAACATTCCTTTCACGAGAAAACATGAGCCCAACAAAATTGACTTGCTTACCACTGTGTGACTTTATAGGTCAGTTGGTCAGAGCACTGCACCGGCACCGCAGAGGTCATGTGTTTCGGGAATAGGGGACTCGGCAAAATGCATCACTTACAGTACTGACTAAAGACAACGGCTTACATTAGAAAGTTGGTATACCAACTTGGAATAAACCCCTCTGAACAGATCACAGCAATTACCGGCACATTACAAACGACTTATTCACAATACAAACAAACGATCAACTAAAAACATTACACTTCACACTAATTCACAATGACAATACACCCACACATTACAACTAAAAACATCACACCTAAATCACATATCACAACTAAAAATAAAATATTTCACTTCACACTAATCCAAAATGACAATACACATTTCCTGTACACACAATACAATGACGTAAGAACCAGATAACAATTACGGCTAACCTGACATTTACTCCTCATTTGACTCTGAAGATGACTACCGCTAAGGTTGTCGAAACGTCAGTCACCAACAACAAAAATAGTCCTTCTCAGGATTTTATTAACCTGGACGATCATCATTTACAAACATGTAACTAAATTGGTTGTTAATAGAAAGAAGTACCTTGTAAACACTGCCATTTTGGTGGTGCTCCTTTATAGGCAATTTTTCAAGGATTGGCTTTGAAGAACTGAAGTACATATGCGCATTTAATGTAAGCGACGACGACAAGATTTACGTGGTTGTACATAAGAGATATGTAGTTTTGATGAAAAAGAGCTAATCAAGTGTTTTCATTTCATTATACGTCTTACGCCAAATTGTTATTAGATCATGTTTAATGGTAAAACATACAAGGCAAAACTACGACATAGCGCCTAAAGTAAATGTGGTATCTCAGAAGTAGGCAAAAAAGACAAAGATGAGTAATCAACAGCATAGTTCATAGTTACATTGTGTTCATTTGAGCATTTCAGCTATGTTTTTTGACAAATTTGGTGTATGTTTTTTTTTCTAATTCTTGGGTTGCAACCAACCTCCACGTAATTATCCAACAATGTTTCTCACTCACGTCGACAGGCGACCGCAATAGCATTGACAAAATATTCTTTAGTATTTGGCTATCAACATGGCAACCGTGACGTAACATGAAAACCGTATGTTAATTGTATGTTATTGATCATGAAGATGGGATATTGGTAAATCTTACTTATATGATTTACAATAATTGATTTTTAGCAAACATGTTTCATGTTTTATCATCAATTAATGAAAACTATTTAAAATTTCATTGCAAGCTATGAATGACCTCTTTATAAAATGAATCATTTTTTCTTTGCACCATCATTTTCGCGCTTGTAAAATTTTTTTCTTGAAAACAGTGATGTTATAAATCGTTGCTCCTAAAGTAAATGTGGTATCTCCAAACATCTAAGCGCGATATACCCAAAACTTGCATAACTCGGGTATACTTGTACATACCTTCATTGCCTCATACCTGTTTAAAAAATGATGTATGAAAAGTAAACAGAAAGCATTTCATTCTTCTATTGAAGTTAACTTCGGTAGTTCTATACTTTAGGTATTGTTTGACTATTTTGAAGGCTCTCAACTATAAACGGAGAACATAAACTTAAGTAGCCATAGATACATCTGTTTGAAATCTCCAACAATTGTTGAGATGCAAGATAAAGTAAAAATAATAGTTTGAAAAGCTATATGAAACGTAAGTTGAATTTTAAGTCAAATATCTTGAACAAAAAATACGTGAATGCATATGCTGCGTGCGTGCAAAATATGCATGTATATGAAATACATTTCACAAAAATATCCCATGAAATTTACTGTAAATGATGATTGAATGATTGGAAATGATAAATTAAGAAACACAAGTTTTTGTAGATATCTTTATGTCCCTTACTATGCTTTCAGGGTCATTACCAAACTAACTCGTTTCTATGTTGGTGTCTGTTTTCTCGGAAGATCGTTTTAATAAAGTAGAAAATTCTAATAAGCAGGCGAAAAATGTTGAAAAAAAAACATAATAAAATGTGTGGGTTTTCCCATTACCTCTTTTAGCATATCATTTCTGGCATATCATTGTTTCATCGCCTCGACAGTCCACCTTCCAATGATTCCATTAACTTAACCAAAATCGACGTCCGTCGATATAACCATAGTGATTATACACGGCCATAACGAGTTATTTTGTTAACGATTTTAGAAACATTTTCCTGTTCATTTAAAGAAAATGGATGCACTTCGTGGAATGACATTAACCAAGAAAGATTTCGTCGAAAACGTGACCATACATTGGAAGCAAGGTTCTTTTGTGGGATTTGGTGGAGACCACTCACAAAGTTACGACATTTTCAATTATGAAACTCCCAACGGAGGCTTGATTCCAGTGTACATCCAAAGTGGTTACGAAAAACCTCAGGAATTGAAAATTGGTGGACGCCTACAATACGGAATGAACAACGGCGTGTTTTTCCTTGTGCTCCATGACAAGAGTCAAACTCCATATCAGCAACGGTTCATTCAAAACCATATGCAAAAGCAATTGTATATGGCCAATGCTTGCTTGAAAACCTATACTGGAGGGACGGCTGATCTTTCATGGATAGCAGGAGACTATTTGCGTAACTTTTGATTAAAACAGATATTACTTACAATAACATTGATCATAAAAGTTTGTTGTTTAATTGGTAACTTGCACGTATTGAATGTATGCCATTATGTAGTACGCGTTCTCACATCACGATTTGGTTAATAAATTTTTCTGTAAACAAAGACCCGTTTCTCTTGCATTCAATTTTTCTTGCATGATGAAAAAGAGGCGTTTTAATACAGGAATATTTGGTCGACACATAGTTTTGAGCAATTTTCCATTTATAAATGCCATTATAAACATTGTGGTTTCAATTTCTTCAAATCGCGTTTTTCGACAGTTTGATTATAAGTAAACGTATGCTTTCAGGGATATTAGTGATTTGTGATTTTACTAATACAATTAAGATAAATAGTTGAAAGCAATGCAATGATAGTTCTACAAACGACGTTTGTCTCATATTAATGGCTAAAATGAAACAATATATATATAAGCCTTCATCAGAATCGAAGCAACGAGTCGAAAGCTCAGTAAAAATCATTGAAAATCCAGAGAAACTTTTACTTTTAAACAATATATTGCCTGGATTACCAATCTTTAAACATATGTGTATATATACAAAGTGTATAACAATGTGCCCTCCCGGCTATCATCATAGTAAAATGGTGACTCCTGCACACATATATATATATTGTGAAATAAACGTTTCTCCGGATTTAGAAATGATTTTTATTGAGCTTTCGACTCGGTGCTTCGAGCCTACATCAGAAATTTACAGGAAGTTATTTACAACTGTTTTAATTCCACACCATTCAATCATATTAATCCACCAGCTAATTAAATTAGACGCTCTAAACGTCTACAAATTAATTGCCATGACACTGTGTTGCTCAAAGACATGTTGAATGGTTGCGATCATAGATATAGTAGGTCTAGATCGCTGACGAATTTGACGTAATATAAGACGGAATGATAAGACGTAGTATAAGACGGTATCCTGATGGAATATTTTACTACGTTGTCGTAACATAAGTTTAACGTGTTTTACCATGGTTTCCACATTGTTGTAGGATGAGTGTAACGTGTTTTATTATGGTTTTCACGTTGTTGTAGCATGAGTGTAACGTGTCTTACTGTAGTTTCCACGTTGTTGTAACATAAGAGTAACGTGTTTTACCATGGTTACTACATTGTTGTAACATGACAGTAACGTGTTTTACCATGGTTACCACGTTGTTGTAACATGACAGTAACGTGTTTTACCATGGTTACCACGTTGTTGTAACATGAGTATATCGTGTTATACCATGGATAGCACGTTGTTATAACATAAGTGTAACATTTAATATCCCATCCCTGATATTTACTTTGCAAATACTTCGATTAATACTTATATATATTTAGTGATAAACAATTGTGATCATCAATTTTTTCATTTTCGTCTTCAAAGGTATTCGTTCGTATTAATTTCTTTCATTGTCAATAATTTAAGTAGTATTTTGTTCATTTCCAATACTAAGTAATGTTAAGTAACATTGTGTTCATATTTCATGAATCAAAGGCATATAATGACTGTTAAAGACTGCTATTTTCTCAGAATTCTGCACTGAATTTTCTGGTTGTTTTCTTTCTTGAATCAAAGACATATAATAATTATCAATAACTTTTATGTATTCCAAATTTTCGGGTGAATTTTCTAATTTAGTTTCATCGTCTTTACGGTTCAAAAGGCCCGTAACGGTTTCATGACGTTCAATATTTTCATCACGACTTACATTTGGAAAACTGTTGACGATTACATCAAGCGGCTTTTCGCACTCCAAATTTTTCGATGAATTTTCTAATTTAGTCTCATCGTCTTTACAGTTCAAAAGGCCCATAACAGTCCCATAACGTTCAATGATTTTCTCACCACTTACATTTGGACGACTGTTGACGACTGTATCAAACGGTTCTTCGTAAATGTGTTCTTCATCGTCATCCTCAATTTTTGTCTCAAGCTCGATATTCTGCGAATCGTCCTTTCCTAGGAAACGACAACAGTTAAAACGATGAAAGACATTTTTCAAATGATGAAAGGTTAATGATGGATTATTGTTGATAATCATAGTTATGACTGTAACTCTACAGTCCATTATTGAAAAATGCATGTAACTTCTTGCTTACCATCATGCACTACACGTGTGCTTATAAAATGTCAAGGATGTTATTGGGTGGAAATTAAGTGATGAATTAGATCAAGATAAAAAGAAAAAGATCAAAAGCTGTACGTCGCTGTCCATTGGTACGAATATTAGTACAAATTTCAACATGAATTTTATAAGGTTTAGTATATAAATTATATTTTAAAGGACACGATGATGCAACTATAATTTGACAAATAAAAATATTATTGTCTTACTATGTTTTGATTTACAGAAGCAAATAACATAAACAATGACAATAAGAAACAAGGCAGCTGCTGAGGCACCAATAATAACGCCCGTAACGCTAAAGTTTAGGGAAAAAATATGAAGCAAATTGTGTCAACAGTAATTTAGTATCCTTTGATACATTTGGGAAAACATTTGGGAAAACATTTGGGAAAACATTTGGGATTGTTGCTCGAGTTAAGAAAAGCGGTGCAAAGCACTTAGCTTAATTCCTGGGTGTTTGGATAAAGCCATTCACACACGAAAACTATTTAGTTCTTGAATGAAGTTATGGCCCGACTATACTTGATGTATACCAACTATACTTGATGTATACCAACTATACTAAGATGACTTCAAAGAAGTTGCAAATGCTATTTTACTTACGCTGTTATCTTGAAGCAGAAGGATTCATTACCTATTTCTTTAGACTGTTTCATTAATTTCGTATCAAGTAATCCTAATACTTTTGTGAAATCATTAAAATCCAGCATTCCTTTTTAAGTGTTCAAAAGAAGCGAAACTCATATTTGAAAGATAAATTTCATGATTCCAACTGAAAGACTCTCGCATTTTTCAAAAACGACGGAGTGAAATTGTATTACATAGCGACGTTTTACGAACATGCACTGTTTAAGTGCCTATTTCTGTGTTAAGGAAATAACTTCTTTAGATAATCCTATTGATTTGAAGAAAATTTGCAATGTATTTTATACAATGAAATTGTTATCTTCATGAGCTCTTTGTGCGCCTAGAAATAGGTGACTCATCAAGCAAGATTGGAAATTTAGGCTTTGTAAAGAAAAATATAGATATCTTGATCAGTTGATTTTGCATATTTTTTTTTGAAAAGTTTGATTTGTTCGCCAATGGGGAACAAGATCTACCTGCGTACGATCGTTTACGACGAAAAACTCCACATATTTTGTTTCGCTCAATACATCTCTTCTAAACTGAAAAATATATATCGGCGAATTAAAATCATTTCTACAGTCACAAAGCAAGTCTATACTCCATTGACAACTCGTCCTTGTTTTGAAGTCATTTGAACGTTTAAATATGCGCTTTATATTTTTCACAGGAGTTGTTGGATTCTAACTATGTCCTAAAAATAAAGAAAATGAGTCTAAACATAAAAGCCAAGTAAGTAGTACAAGATACAATAGCTGATAACATATATAAACATACATACATAGCACTGGTAACTTCATTTATCTTTAGATCTTCTGTATTGAACAAAATATGACTTTCTACAGATTAAATGTATAATGCATGAGTAAGTAATATAACTGAAAATATTTTAAACGAAATATTTTGCAAACGTATTTGCCGATTTGTCATGAAATTTTTTTGATCTGTTAATTTTCTTTAAAAAGTCCACACGGAACCTCTAATTTGGCAAATTATTGAGTACTTTATGTGAGTTGGCCTACATTTGCATTGTCTATTCTCTGTCCAAATAGGTTCTAAAGGACAGTTTTCTGCATGAACTTTTAGTTTTATATAGCTTTGAAATCGCTTACATGACTATCTTCAGATTTTAAAGGTTGAATAAAGTACGTCCCACTGTTTTTTTTTGATAATTCCTCTAAAACATTATGAAAATAAAATATAAAATGTAGAAAAAAATATTAACCCATTACATCACCATGCCATTATTTGTTGTCTTCTAATCACTGATCATATAGATTTAATTCAGTTACTCTATTCCATTACAAGTACTCAAAGAAACATCAGAATTTTCATCACCAGCAACGGTGCCATGGCATTAGTGTTTTTGACTTTTTCCCAACTAAGGATAAATCCAATTTAAAATGCGTTTTCGTTCCAGGGAGAACAATGGCTACGTCTTGCATATGACCATCCTAAGAAAGAAGATAGCGAAGATTTTTATCAATCAATTATCAAACTGCAATCGATTCGATTACTCAAAATTTTAACCAGAAATTCCTAATTGATTAAAGGACATTGGTCAAAAGGGAACAAAAATTTCTTTATGTTTATAAAGCATGTTTACGAATACGTGCAAATGAAATTCAGCGAAGATAAAAAGAATACGTACCGGTATTTTGATTGAAATATCTTGCTTTATTCTGTCATTAAGTAGGTAAGGTTGTACTTTTTCGTAAGATTGTATATTTTCCAATAATCTAGCATTGCTATTAGGAATCTTTTCGGTTAATGTCGCATCTACGAGGAAAGCATACATACATATATATATGATAACCAACGAGTTACGATCCCTGCTATGCAGATAGTATTCTCCAAAATGCAACCCTTATCGATCATTTTTTATGACACATTTCTTTCAAACATGGAAATATTAGCAATAACTATAACCATATATATAAAGTGACGTAAAAACGGCAAACATTCCGTAAAGATAGAGGAACTACTAAACAAAGGAATAGAGAAATTGAAGAAATGATTTAATACAAATACATTAATACACTAAAACCCATAAAACTAAACCAACATCCAAACAAAAGCATACAAACCACATTTGTACGGCAAGATAAAGAAAATCCAAAAGATGTATAAATCATTAAGTCGATATGAAGAACCCATCTCCGAAGGTGGTTTAGAAGTGGAACACTAACTGTTCATTTCGATGTTTGTATTATTGAGGGATGGGCACATAGTTCATGCAGGGTTTCGGTTTGGAACAATAGTTATATCGGCCTGATCGAAAATGCAGAGTCTGAGGACAGAGATTCCACACTCCGTATTTTCAACTATTGCTTGGAAGATCAAGAACCTGATGTATAGTGTGCAAGGGCGGCGGAACATCGATAACTGGGGGGGGTATTATTCATACATGCACGATTTCCTTTATATGTCTCTATTGAAATCAACTGTGTTTACCGATGATAACAAATGAATAGCCCCCCCCCAATTATCAATGATCTGCTGCCACTGAAAGTGCGCTCTTCCGAAGAATTAGGTACACTCTCTTTGAGAAAAATGGGCCGTTTGAGAGAGGATCAGGAATTTTTTTGAAAACACTGCGTAAAGTCGGCAGGGAAAGAGGAAAAAATTCATCGTCCTAACATCTTTCGTTCAATGTTGAAATTTAAAGTTGGAAGTTATGGCATGCACACGTGAGTGATGAGTCAACTCCATTTCAAACTAAATCAAGTTATAAATCGTTTACTAGTTTACCGATGAATGAAAAGTTACATATTTATAAACACAATTTGTCATCAGAAGCAGACTGAGGTCAGTCTGCTCTGCATCTTAAGCTAAATCGTTTTTAGTGAGCGACAAGCCAGCCACCAAAACGTGGAGACTTGTAAATATATATAAATATAAATAGTAACATGACGTATAAGAATATTGAGGCCAATAAATATAAATAGTAACATGACGTATAAGAATATCAAGGCCAACTTCTTTAGGACCAGACGCTTTTCAAAAAAGATGCAAGCTCGACCTATATTGTAGTATCAACGGTCCTTTCTGCAAGAAATAAGAGGAACAAGGTGCCAACATTAAAATATTAAGTTTTATTTTCTGTTATACCCTACCTTGAATTTCCATCGAGTGAGTGTTATAAATTTCAAAGTGTGATCTTTTCCTAGCAGTTCTTCATTACAAAATATGTCTATCTAAAAATGAAAACATTGCCGACGATAGATTAGAGTGACATGTCAAGTCTTAATTTTGTAAACAACACCACCAGAATACAAAAAAATCTCGACAACACTTGCCCAAGTGGAAATTAATCCAACGGGAAATTAGTCATCTCTTATATCAAGTTGAGTATTTTTACACACAAAGCAGATTTATTACTTTATAGGACTTTCCTGTGACTTTTAAGTGCATTAAGGTACATCTATAGTATACGAAACATCAACCAATCACATACATCAGTGTGACTTTTCAAATTCAATTTCTTGGCGAGATATTTTCTAAGAATTTGAACAGTCGCCTGCGAAGACAGTCTCAGGTACTTTTTTCGTAGTGGCTACAGGAAGCAGACGGAAAAGCTGAATATTCAATAATGAATACAAATTTATTGAATGAGAACAGGAATTATATGCATACTTTTATCGATTTCTTGTTTTCAGGAATTCTAAAAAACATAATAAAAGCCTTAAAAAGTTCGTCTTAGAAGTTAGACCGTAAAAAGTTCATTTTTTACCTCTGACACTCCAGACAAATGGCAACTTGCTCGTCATGCCTGTGGTAATTATTTTCTTCTTTAATCGTACCCCGTGCAGTAACTTTACTCGGTACTGAATTCTGTGATATTTCGACTAAAACGACAAATTGTACCCAAAGGAATATTATAGTAACAATTTTTACACCAGCTAACAAAGTTTAGATGTTCCATTCTACCTTTGCGTTTAGAATTTGGGGCACTTTTTCTCGCGAATTTTTCCACCCTTTTTCCCTCTCCTTATAGAATGGAAAGAAAATATTCGATTATGCCTATTATCCATTTAAAGTGTAAATGGTTTGAACCCGGGAGTATCGTTACATGTTTGTAGATTTAAATCGTCCAGGTAAATACAGTTTCGAGAAGGACTATTGATATAAATGCTGACTGTGACAGCACTTGACTCTGAAGATGATTGACGCTAAGGTCGTAGAAACGTCAGTCAACATCAACAACGACAGTCCTTCTCAGGACTTTACTAACCTGGACGATCTACATTTACAAACATGTAATTATCTATTTCTCGTACAAACACGTGCAACTTGTTGCTATACATCTTCAAATAATTTATAAAGCGAATAGATTTTCTATTTCTTCAACGTCGAAAATTTCCAGCTCAATTTTTCCTCATTCTTTAACATTTTATGCTCACGATGTTTAACTATAACTCAGTAACAACCGAAACGACAAGCTCAGCAGAAGCGTAGCGAGGGCATTCACACTACCCGAATGTTTGTCAATTTAACGACGAACTTAATGATTTATGGACAAAGCCTCTCTACGGTTTTTGGTTATCATTGTACACGAGTTTGTAAGACTGAAGGTGAAAGACTGACGTCACCGACACAAGTGAATGGATGAAAATAATTAAATGCTCCACTTTGTGGGATGAATTTAAAAATCGTCGAAGGCTTTCGTTCGTGAAATCACTTCAGTAACACAGAGGATGTCACACCTCCATACTCCCTGTATGGTACTCCCCTGCAGACGATCATTTTCTTCACGTACTGCAGACGATCATTTTCTTCTAAAATTTTCCAAACTTACTCTTTTGTAAACCAGGGACTAGTTTATACACAACATCTTGCATCGTTCTATCTAACCTGGAAAAGATGATTTCAGCTCGATGACCTTCAAGGCAATGTGCGTATGCAACAATGTATGCAAAAATATGGTGACTTCTATATGAGCTAAATGTAGAGTATCAGTTGAGTAGCAAGCCACACATTTGGTCGTGCATGCTATGTAAATTTCATTAGCATTTTTATTTTCTTTATAGAAATCTGTTGCATGTTTTTACCGTGAGCGAACACTTAAATATGTACGTAGCTCTGCCAAACTTAGGCGCTGACTACGTCACTGAAGACTGTACACGCAATTTAAGATTTTAATTCTTTGGATACACACAGGTTTCTGTGGTGAACAGTGTAAAAACCGTTCTCCATCACAAGAACCAAGCTACAGTATTGGTCGATAGATAAAGTATAATGTGCAACATAAGCCCTGGTTGATCCAGCGTTATGAAAAAAAAAAAAATAAAACAGGAAGCGTCTCCAGGAAGGAGAAAAGGACGCAATTCCTCCTTTTTGTTTCATGACATTTTCAAATTGACAGCTTTTAGTGGCTTGGGGGGTGGAATCATTTTATAACTTACATCGCATGAAGCTAAGTATGTCTTTCTTTTACGATAACATTTAGCAGAAAAGCTTTTTATCATTTTAAAATAGCGAAGCGCTCCTTCTCCCTATTGATAAATCCTGCCCAAACCCCATTTCTATTGGCAATATACATTTTATTAAACTACTATTGGTTATGAATTTGCAATGAAACTCATCAATCAAACTGCTTCAAAGAGTTTTGAAATGTAATATATCCTATGGGCTTTAGTTTTGCCTTATGTCTGTACTTCAACGGGCATAATGAAGATTGTATGTAAAGTTCATGCAGATTGACGGCTTTAAGCTTACCTCAAGTAATTCATCGGATGACTATGGTGGATGGTTTTTTCGCATCTTGGGCAGTGCGTGTACTGTTCAAGATGTTTCACGATGCAACTGTGACAAACTAAAAGAGAAATTGTGATTTACATTCTTTCTTGCGTGCTAACGTACTTGAATGATAAGTATGGATTTTAATTGTTACAGACTAAAGATTGCTCGGTCATGGAAGGCCTATATTTATGCCTTAATCTATGAATCCACTACGCAAATGGTTCGTCTTTGTTGGATAGAGTTGTATCAATAACTTTTCTAAAGATGGCCACGATTAAAGCAGCTCGGAGCCTAATACAAACAAAATTTGATAAACGTTCGTGGCAACGACGTTGAGAGGTACTCGCCAATGATTTGCATCACTGCTTTTTATTTAAGTGATTCGAACAAGTCACAACATGATTTTTTCATCGCCATTTTTTATTCACTTTTATTTACCAGTTTATTGATACATGACAGGTAACTCTCTGAGCTTTGATAGGAATTTGCCTAATCTGAAAACGTCGTTCACAAAACAATTTACGCCTTACCACATAAACCGATATCGTTCTATCTTTGGAAGTGTTGATAAACTTACAAGTGTGAAGACATTCTGTGACCGTGGATGCGTTAATAAGATATCCAGTGCAAATGCTACAAGTTATGAATTCGTTGAACTCCTTTATTTTAAATGTCTTTTCCATCTCGAGGACCGTAGAGTTTCTTAACAAAGAAAGCGATTTTTTATTGTCGTTGGATGTAATAATATTGAATGAACTCCCCGACAGAACTTGGACCGAAGTCAACATCAGTACGAAATACAAAACCTTTCTTAATAGACAACAAACATATATTTCCTATTCAAAATCAATGAATCAATTTTCAATTAAAACGAATCAAACAGTTAGAGTCGATAACAGGCTATACAGTCAAACACCTTCCACCCTATGATTTTAATTTTATCGGAGCGTACGTATTATATCCTGACACATAATTTACCTCAATAGCTATTCAAATAATAAAGTAAAATGTCTACCAGCGCAAATAAATAATGTCAAAATGCTCCTCCTGAATGCCCATAAACATCACGCTTGCCAAACCACATTACCGTATGTTTCCCATTAGCTTGAGTGACATTGTGGTTACATTGTATGATTGGACAATGTGGAGATAGTTGTGTGTTCACGAGCGTTTTAAATTTAAAGCCCAGTTACATGTATAATAAGGAAAGAGCTCTTTCTAGTTTTTATACGTATACAATTGAGCTGTTTAAAAATATATTTTGGGACTTGGGATAATTCGATTGTGATGAATAGCTTTAAAATTAATTTCCAACCTATCATCAAAGAAGAAAGTTGGATTTGTTGCGATTTCATATGAATAAATAAACCGTCTTTATGGAATTTTCTCCGATTAAAGACCACAGAATTTTCCTTCGAAGAACTTCGACAGTCGCTATAAATCGATGTACCAATTATAGTTTCGTGGCATTTGTAGACGTGTAATTAAACCACTAACAAGCTTTGAGAATTCATTGCAAAACCAACACCAAGACAAGTCATAATTGTAGAATATAAAAACAATGCAAGGGTAGCAAAATATTGTCGAAAGAACAGTGAACTGTGCATCTTACCATACATTCATAATTATTAAACAACTAACATTAATGAAAGTGAAAAGCCTATTTGCATAGGTCAATCTGCTTTATACACACAACAGCTTACTGCAGGCAAAGATTTTAATGCATTTCTCATTGTATATAGTGTCCAACGCTGGCCATCGTACATACATTTTTTAAGTTAACAATACTATACCTTTACGATGTTTCTGATGTCTGTACTCTGTTTCTTGTTTTTTTTATCGGTTCTCTTCAGTGAAATTTGGTGAATTTGATCGTGAAAATTGGTTTGCCTATTATAGCGTGTCTTTGTCCAACGTCAAGCTGTGTTTAGCTGTTTGACTAAAGAATCGGAAGCGACGGAGCTTATAAGCTCTTAGATTGCACTTGTTGACCTCTAGTATTTCAAACATGCAAATGTTCGGCGTTTTGCCAGTGGCTCATATTTTAAATTTCGCGCTATATATTCGTAAATGTAGATGTCAGAAGAAGGCACGCTTGATTTTTTTGTTTGTTAACAGACAGTTTTGTTTGTTAACAGAAAGTTTATCAAGATTTAGTCAATTCGGACTCGAAAATTGTAAATGAATCATTCGCTCGCGGCAACAAGCCACTCACTGAGTTGAATGATGCAAGTGAAATGACTTTCTAAATGCAAAACTGGGATTTTTCATTTCATGATTAGTTTGATGTGATTATGGCATTTTGCATTTCATTTTTGGAAGATGAAAAGTTGAAAGCCATCTTTTCAGAAATTATAGCGCACACATCCTATAAATTATATAGAAGTCTGTTGAAGTCACTTGAACTTGTTAAGACATATTATCTTATAATCTATTGACATCTTTACGTCTTCGGAGAAGCTTAAATGACGTATTGATGTGAACGAATAGCACAAAGACCTTAGACAAGTATTTGTTATTCACTTATATCAGAAATAAGCTGGTAATGAGGAACTTTGTCTGCATTACTTTTCGCTCTAACAACGAGTACTGCGTACTCATATAAGATATCACTTACCAACAACTTTACAATATACAACGGTGTTTCACTTCCCATTACCCGGGATGCATTCTGAAACTGCGCTAAGTGGTCAGCAGCCACGATAATTGAATTCAAGTCCGCCATTATTGTGCGACACAGACAGTTTCAGCATACGCATTTATGTGTAACACATGCTCAGAGGCGAATAGACAATGGATCTTTTGCAGGTAATATGGGAAATTGCCAAGAATGCCACATGTCATAGAACACATAAAGCTTTCCATGACTCGAGGCTATAGAATGTGTGTTGAAATAAAGCTGTGTTATATCTACAATCTAGTAACTGGATTTCATCTCACGATTTACCTTTATCATCACGTTCTTCTAAAATCGCACGCGCTATATGAAATATTGAGCAATATTAATTTTGGGTTTGATTATAAAAAGAAGCTTATTTAATATATTAATCACGAAAAATATTATGAAATTAGGCGAAATCCTAATAAACTGCGAAGGTGTATAATATTACCTTTTCAAATGAATGTTTCTGCTCAAATTTCAAAAAGGAACCACTCAGTGTCGGTCAGTAAATATGTGCTGTTGATAAAATGTCTCAACATAACAAAGATTGGCCTCTTTCTTTCTTGTGTTACGCAAGTGTTGAAAGTCGGTTGATATTTAAAAATAAAGGAATGCCAATTATTAGGAAAATATTCAAAGCTTGTCGGAACTAGTTTTAGTCGTCCTCTTCATCATTAAAGAGACTTTTATGAATAATTGCAATCGTTCGCTTCGATGATTCAACGAGGGCGTGTGTCTGGCGTTCGCGAATTCGCGAAAGTTTCGCAATAAAAATGCCCGATAGATGTGATTAATTAAACAGTAGTTTAAATAAACATCGCTATAGGAGATTGTGTATTCACGCCAAGCATCTTCATGTCCGCAGCGACTTCGAGAAATAATTTAGTTGACTGTCTTTAGACTTTCAATGAATTCGTTTCCCGGATAGCTGTTAGTTATAGCTATTTCAGTTTTCGAAAGAAAATATGCTTACATTTCCCTTTAGTCAAACAAGACGATCAAACTGAAACCACGCGATTTCAACGACTTGTTGACATGTTACTTGTGTAAAGGTTATTGGATCAAACCGACTACAGTTGCTGAATGCCTACACACGTGTAAGTTTCTAGATTGAGTGAACCGTCGATTCACATGTTAGACGATTCATTTTGCAACAGGCCATTATCGAAAGATTATCAAAATAATGAGAACATCTTTGTTGCGATAAGGATGAAAGACGCGTATGTACGTACCATGTTTACACACACAGCCTAGCAAAGTAAATATCAGACTATAATTGTTATCCTTTGTTATTGAAAATTTCAAGAAATAGGGCAGGAAACATTGCATAAGATATAGCACAGCTTTACGCTGTTTTCTACATAGATATCAGTTGTTGCAAGTTGTGCGCGTCATCATCTTTCGTTCGCGGCAGACTCTATCCTCTCTGTCATTACACGAACAGCAGCTGTAACTTTGGCTAAGTTCTTAGATATGTGAACTATATCGGTTTATGTCTGCGATTAAGTTACAATCTACTGATGAGTTTGGCTTGAAAATGTATACTGTATATATGCTCAAAATCTTAAAATTGTAACATTTTGATCGCGTATATGTATGTATGTAGCTTTCTGTAACGAGGTTCAATCATGAGATGTCGCGGGCCAATAAATCAATATGCAATATAAGCCAGGCCTGGCTTCTAGCGACAACGGTCGGTCTAGTCAGCGTTATGCAAAACAAATATTATAACAGCTCAATGCTAGGTCATCATGCAATACTCAGCTGGTATTGCATAAAATTGTTCCAATCAAACTGCTTTGAATAGTTTTGAAATGTAAAATATCCAATATTTTTGCCAACTAGTTCCACTCCACCACTTGCTCCCAGAGTTTGCATAATTACAGTAAATTAATCAAAAAGACGACACAAACGTATCGCTTTGCAACAAATATCTTCTAACATGAATAAGATCAACTCCTCCTGGCATGTTTTCAGCGCATTCCATCCTCTTGAAATTTCCCTGACTTTTCTTGTTGAGCTATACAGTGTACTCCATTCTTTCACGAAGATTCTTAAACCTGTTCGAGAAAGAAAGTTACCTTTGCAAAAATTACCCCGGTTGATAAAAATAAATAAATCATTTTTCTCCTTTTGTAAATTCTTGCATGCAATATGTCTTACTCCGGCAATATGTCTTACTCCGGCAATATGTCTTACTTCTTATTTTTTGTATTCCACGTAACGTGGCAGCTGGCAATGGCGTAGCCAACCCGCAAGTGGTCCTCTCCTGCAGTGTAAATTTCACTTATGATCATTTCTTTCAAAATCTTTTATTTTTACACTCAGGGAACACAGTAAAATTTACAAAGTAGGACTAATCACTCAATGAGCAGGTTGGCTAAGCTGGAGGACTGCGGTATTCCGATTGTATCATTTGTGACATTTAGTTTGTCGAAGTTGCATTGTGCAGTATCTGGATGACACGGAGGAGATTGTGTGCCCGCGATGCTTCACGGTCATTCACGAAACCAACCCAACAGAAATGCTGAGGTGATGTAATAATCAACGAAAACTGTTTTTCTGCCTGAAGGAGAGGAGGGGTAAAGATAGAAACTAACGTCTGGTGTGACAAAGAGCGAAACACAGTAGAATATTACACTTTAATCATATACATACAATGCGCTTTGTTGCGCAATATTCACGAATTGCTAGTTTTATGCAATAGAGCTAATGTTGAATGCTGTGATACATCTTAGAGAATCCATTGCATTTTTAAAACTTCAATTCATTAGCCAGACCATGAGGTACACATTTGGATTCGTAATTGCGGCATCACTGTCGCCCACAAACTTCCCATCAACCGCACGCGATTCCTGTTCTCAAGCACTAATAAATGACACATGTTGATCAAAAATTATATTTTTCTAGACATGACCAAACATTGGAAGATATCATATTTAAACTCGTTCCTCATCTACAAGAGAGTAAGTCACCCTGTAGTATACGACAGAAACGCATTTGTTTTTGAAAGAATTGTGTTTCGTACTTTTTAGTGAACTAGTATGCTCCGAATATCAGTATAGACTTTCTAAGTGAATTCACGTCATTAGGGTGAATGGGTGGGTAAGTGGTGGTAATTAAGTGAATTAGGTGTTGTGTGTTGTTATAAAATAAGTACACAACACGTAATTAATGGGTTGCTGTGTAAATAAATAACACACGAGTAAAAAAGGTGGATCGATTGACAAATGATACTATCAATATCGTGGATACTATTCTTTTCTTTTCTAGGCAGTGATTTTTGCTTTATTGATAAGAGCTTCAACTTAGTTATACGCACATTTTTTGTTGTTGCAATTTTATGAAATTATGAAGAATTGAAAGAGTATATGATTTTCCATCAGATTCGGCTAAAAGTATGTTTATGAAGGAGTAAAAGAGTGGTGCTTGCTCACCAGATTGATGAGAGTTAGTTTAAGAAAGAATATAAGAGCAAATGACTGTCCATAAGATTAATGAAAGTTACTTTATGAAAGAATAAAAGAGTAGACGATTGTGATTGATTAGAGTTAATTTATGAAAGGAAAAAGCGTAGATGATCGTTCATCAGATTGATGAAAATAAGTTTTTCTTTCTTTCCTAGATGAAAAACAACGCGAGTATGAATTCAATCGTGCTCAAAAAAGAAAGAAAAATATCGGTTGGTGAAGAATTAACCGAGTCTTTATAACTAATAATAACATTCTTGAAACAAGTTTGTAAATGTAGATCGTCCAGGTTGGTATAGTCCTGAGAAGGACTGTTTTTGTTGTTGTTGACTGACGTTTGGACAACCTTCTCAGGACTATATCAGTCAACAACAACAAAAACAGTCCTTCTCAGGACTATACCAATCTGGACGATCTATATTTACAAACATATAACGATACTCCCGGGTTCAAACCATTTACTTTATTCTTGAAACAAAATGAACATTGATTTTTTGTTATAAAGAAACCGCAGTGGACAGTCAACCATTTTGTAAACGACAAAAAGAAGAAAGAAAAACAGAACAATTCAATGATCATCGCAACGATCCTCAAATCGCATTTTGTCTGGATTGCATCGAGTATGTCCTCATTATTGAAATATTGCTTCAGTTCATCAAGCTACTCCGTCATGGATCTGTTGCACCAGTTGCTAATCGTGGCTTTCTTTTTAGTAGCGATGAGGTTTCCTGCAAGTATTTTCAACCGTTGGCGAAGAAATTCATCAAAACATCAATTAGATTGACCATCGGACACCTAAAGAAATATCTTCGTTTGAAATTGAATCTTCCCAATAAGAAAGAGGTTTTATACATCTACTGGATCATAATATTAGTATAATGTTATAGATTTTCGCTTATAATTCGAAAAGCGCAATTGTGGTGGTTAGTCGCCAAAATTTGTAGAGTTTCCAAACGTCCCGAAGACCAATAAAAACCCAAAAGTTCTGAAACTTGAGAAAAAAAGCAAGATTTTTCCGTGGATATCAGACCTCGTGGGTTTCGATCAATCCTCGGAACTCTTCGTAACTCCATAATTTTCGGCTATTCATCAGGGCAATTGCGCTTTTCAAGGCAATATTTAATCTCTTTTTTATAGTTAACTTTTCTTTCTGGATTTTTAGGTTGATATCTTATGTAACGGCGAGATTATGGGAAAGGATCACACGCTTGAGTTCATTTACATGACGAGATGGCGATTAAAGGTTAATATGGATTTATAACACAATGCTCCTATCCAGCCGAGTTTCTGCTCCAGAGAAAACACATCCATTATGTGTGTGTGACCATACATGGAAATTTTTTTACCAAATTTGTTCGGATGAGCTTAAACAACCCCCTTCCCCTCCCATTCTGGACTTACCATGAAAAGCAGGTGGGAAAGTCTAAGCTCAACCTGACTCAATAAAGTAAAAAAAATTTGCATATACGGACCTCACTGCATATTTCATTGGCACAGAAAATTTGGTGGGCATGCAGACATCAAAACTTTTTCTTTAGTTCACATTTGTGCACAAGTTTACATACATTTTTACCGTGTTTGCTTAAAATTTCCCAAATCCTTGCCATGTTTTGACAAAAAATTACCTGAATTTTTCAATTATTTCTCTAAAAATCAAACGGGACGGGGGGGGCGGGGCGATCTGCCCTCATGTATCACGTGCCTTAAAACTATGTCCAATTCTTTTTCCTACGCGGATTTCCCATGCGCTGTTTAGGTAAGGGCATGCGCGCCGAAGAGGGCAGTGTGTCGGATCTATCGTACGTTAAAATAAACTATAAGAACTCAATCTTCAAAATCTATAGCAGTGTGACGAAAGATTTCGTATTTGAAATTCTGCTTCAATTTTTGACAATTGTGGCTTGTCGTGAGGAGAGAATCGTCCGTGGACATTCTATATTCGGTACACTATACTTGTAGGCTACTCCTAAAACATCCATTGCCAATTATATTTTATGAATTCATCCTTAAGTAGACAACTCAAGTGGCGTGGGGAACCGCCACTCCCAATATTTTGCCACAGATATGCTATTACAAGTACTTTGGTGGTTTAAAGTAAAATACTTGTGATATTATGTTATAATTTTATATTGAGTGGTACAGTTTGGAGTAAGTATATCACAGTTGTAAAAGTTGGGACTTCTTTATTATATTTACTATGTATACTTGCAGCCCTCTACTACCGAGGGTAGTTCTCCCTCAAAAAATATTGTTTTTCTATGCCACTGAATTCGATATTTTTATTAGAGTGAGCATCTCCTGACACTGCATTATCGACCTCAAGAAGTCATTCTCACGTAAAGTTCAAACTTCAACGAATTTCTACGATTTGAAAATGGACAGATGGAACTGGATAGAATAGGTTTTTTTTTATTATATTAATAAGATTATATTAATAAGATATGTAATGTGTAAATATTGTGTTCCAGTGCATTTAATTGTTGAATATACAACGACGTCAATGTTTTATAGTGATTTATGTTGCTTTGCGATCATTTTATTTCGATTGTGAATAACAACAATCAAGTCGAGAATGTACTCAGTTGCGTTTCGGCACTTCGTCATTGAGCGATTTTTATCCCAAATCTATGTCTGACTGTCCATTGCTTACTTCAAAACCAAACAAGATTTTCGAACATTTGTGTGCTCGTGTTGTTTAAACTTCGTTCAATAATCCTTTGATCGCGTTTGAACTTCATCCTCCTGTTTTGAAACCAGATCTTTATGTGTCGTTCTTCTAAATCGAGTTCTTCTGCAAGACGTGAACGCTTCAAACCGACAACGTACATACTCCCATGAAATTCCCTTTCCAAGCGTTCCAGCTGACGAGGAGAAAATGTAATACGTAAACGCTTGCGGGCCGTAGTCAGATCTGCGTTTTTAACGTCTGTGAAAAGACAGAATATATAAAGATATTGAAATTGAAAGACTTACAGTATTTACAATAGAATAGAAAGCTTAATGACACCGTGTGTTCATGTTTTAATTAGGTATATATTGATCAGTTTACGGTTTGGCAAAGCTGGAATAAATCTTAAATAAAGCTGGAAAAATCTTTATTGCAATAAACTCAACCCAAAGCTTATTTTTTCAATGAATTCAAGGACAGGTGTCCAATACCTCACCACTCGAGGGAACCTTCATACTTTTGAGAGTTGCGTTTCTTATTTATTTTGGCAAACAATTCATGCTTATAAAAAAAAAATAAAAGCAATCCAACTGAGAGAAAATGTATATGAGACATTGTCATCATCATCATCATATCTTTTCGCGCCAGGGCGATCCAAACTCGGGCTGGAAGTTTGGAAGTGGTGCGCGTGTTGTAACAATCAGTCGAAATCAGGGACAGCACGTGAAGCCTTGCTACTTGTCCCCTGAGACATTGTGAAATGCCAAGAACATACATGCACTTTAGGAACGCGGAAACTTCTCGCTTTCATTTAAGTCACGCAATCTTAGTACATGTAATACACAACTGGTTGAAACCGGTTTGCTTTCATACATAAATTCACGAAATGGTTGCGAAAATAAGTTTGAAAAGACGAGAACTGCCGCGACAACATCATTTTTTAAACTTACCAACATCTTTTCTGCGCCCATTATCAATAACTTGCATCGAATTTTGCTTACTGTAATCTTTCTCACTGCGTCCGCATGCAGAAGTTGGAAATTTAACATCATTTTGTCGAGGTAAACTGATAGAATAATGCTCCAACGCGTTTTGCCTCTGATGAACTTCCAGGTTGGTACGCGAAGTAAAAATCGGCATGTTTGGAACGCCATCGACTTTATTAATTGCGTGACGCTCGTGAACCTGAGGATGGAACCAATATGGCTGATGTGCAGCGTCGATGTTCATCTCGAAAGCTTCTAAAAGCATGTTTTTGAGTTCTCTGAGAAGTCAGTTAATTTATTCAATTCTGGCCCACAAATAAGGAAATACCAAAGACATCACCAATAACAATGTAAATACACAATAACACTTACCAATGCCAAATCGAGTTGATTGATCTAGGAAAGCTAATTTGCAATTTACTATATTATCGATGATGTTGCGAACAAAGCTCTGAAAAGTGGATTAATCTTTGATCTCTCGTCACACAGAAATAAACTGCATTTGAGAACAGCTTATTATCATAAGGAGCGGCAAAGCGGGAGGTTGTCAAGACAACTAGCGCAATGGCTCTAACAGTTGGTGTTTCCGTGCTTCACCACAGGCTCATTCGATGACTTTGCATTGAGACATAGGGTTGCTTCATAACGAGGGGAAAAATCCGGAAGTTTTGCTTGCAGACAGAATGACTTTGCCGTGTGTCTAAAATTTGTTGGATTATCAACCTCTCGTATATTTTCTTGAAACAATTCTACTGCAAATACATAGTTTACAATAAAATTACAACAAACACTGCGTCCAACCTTTCATCGTATTTATAGCATGAACTTCATAGCGTGCAGAAGAGGACTGTCCTTTGCTCCTCGTTGCCAAAATTTGAAAAGTTAGCTATTTACGATAAGCCTATTTTAAGTATCGCATTTTAGTAATGCTGGCAGTACCTAACTATGACGCTTCCTCAGTTGCGAAGCCTTCAAACACCACCTGACTACAATTGCTGAAAAAACGCTAAACTTTCATGAACCTTAGACAACAACTCATTTATTTGCATACAACAACCAAATTTTGAAATTCTTTGCTAGTTGCGTACGATATTAAAATAAGTTTTGACTCATCGTGACGTCATCAGGTAAACAAGGTGGGTCGACACGCAAGCTGCTCCTTTTTCGCACGCCAACGCAAGGAATGATCGTATTTTAATCTCGGTGTTTTTTTGACAGCTAAAAAGTCATCACCAGTTAAATATTGTCATATCATCACATTGAGTGATCGCGTCGAATCTTTAACTAGATAAATTTCTATTTTTATCATGGATAAGTTCATAATTATGTCACTGGGCAACGTAAACTCTAAAAAGACGAGCGACGTCAAATACAAGCACGTCAAAGATGTTTTGATTTTAAGACGATTTGACTGAAAAATTTCATGACAGTATCTAAAACAAAATTTGAAGCATATTTACACCCTTCGTATGAAAATTTATGGAGTGCTACTGCACAAACATGGCGTATATATGTCGGTGGCATTTGAAACAAGAAAATAATTTCTAGAACCACACCAAGCATAAGTGTTACTAAGTATCAATCTTACAAGTGTTACCACTGATAAATAGGAAAAACGCACACGAAAGAACAAAGCTAAATAAAAAATAGGGTATTCCTTTCGGTTTGAGTTATAGAATTATAGTAATTTTCAAGGTTGAAAGAGAAATAAACAGTTGTAGATTCATCAATATTGTTGCCAGGCGGGATTTTCAACATAAATATTACACTACAACATATGATTTATAAGTTGGACTGTAATATTTATATTGAGTGATCAATTTATAATTGGTGTTGGTATTGACTGACTTTTCGAAACTTCAAATTCACGTAATCTTAACGGCTCTTCACAGGATTTGCACTAACCTAAAAATCAACATATACAAACGAGTAATTCAAAACTTCACATCATTCAGTTTATTACCGACTTGAGATTGTTGCTTTCGATGGTGAGCATCAATTTAATCAAGTTAAAACTTTTGATATGTTATGTATGTTATTTCTTTTATGAAACTAGACGGAGTAGGGCTGTCATTTCATTTGCAATAAAAAGTAATTTTTTCATGGATCGCATAGCATATTTTTATTGAGAGGCTATATCAACCACCAAATTTGGATGCAAGTTAGGGAACTGAACATTTTTAGGGACTAGTGAGGCTATTGCACATCAGTTTTCTTCGGTTTTTTGTTGATATTGGTATCTGTTGACAGTATTGGTGGCCCGGAATTAGTTATGCCAAAATGACAGCATTCTCTAGTTTTGACAACGTACTTCTTGTATGCTTAGGAAAGTGGGAAACCGCACAAAGTGGAACAAAATAGAAGCAAAATTAAGGGAAGGCTACAGCCCTCAGGTCTCAGCCCCCCTCTCCTGTTCCGCGGTTCAAATTTACAAAATGCGGTCTCGGAAACGTGCTCAATGAATGAGCTAAAGAGTAGAGATTACGTGTGTCTGAGATGTCTGAGTGGCCTTTGAGATTTCAGAATTTCAGATCAACAAGCGTGACCGCAAAGCCGTCTGGGAGAAGAAAGCAGCCATTTTGAAATTCAATTTACCTGGAGTTGTAGTATTAAAACCAAGCACGTAATTTTTATCGAATATTTCGATTTTATTCCTGGTTAATTTCGTGCGGATAAAATACAAAGGGAAAAATACATTAGCTGCTTGTTGAAAGGTCCTGTGTCAATATCGAGTGGCGCTTATATGATAACAGTTCTTTGAGGAGTACGATAAGTTTGGAGGTTTTTGTTGGTATTAAGCTGTGTCTTAGTGTGTCTGAGCTGTGCAAAATGTCTGCGATTGCTGATAATAAACGCAGTAACAAAAGGGCGAAGAAGAAGCGTGCTGCACGCACATCGAAAGACGATGAAAGCCAATATGAAATCTCGTCGACTGTGGTGAGTGCTGTTTGTTATAAGAACGATGCTTCTCACCATCACTCAGCAGTTTGTACGAACAGATAATCATCGTGTATTTCATCTTAAGTAATATTGTATCCCTGAAGCTCGAAATTGTATACATGCGAGTGAACCAACTTAAGCTCACTGCTATGTAACAAAAAAATGGGAATGAAATAATTTTCACGAGTTCATGTCAGACTGTACACAGTAGTGTGTTTGTTTTCGTCGTTGTTAATTTTTTATATGATGCAGGTAGCTGTTTTCACGTTTATTAGCAATGCTGCGATGTGTATCAAGCTTTGTAGCTTTGCCTGGGAAATCAGAGAGAAATTAATTCTTTGGAAAATAGCTTGAAATGTGTAGTTGATAGATGTTGTAATATTTGTTTTGTTTGCTGTGTGCAATACTGACAGACTTTCTTCCATCTTGAATCTGCATTGAATATTTCACTTTGAACATTTCAATACGTGAGGATGTGACAGGCTTTCAGGTTTTGTAACATTTTATAACAGGGTAATGGACAATCTTCTGTTCTTGCTCCACCATGCCATATGGTTGCATCTTCAGTTTTAACTGTTGACAACTGTGGATGCATTTTAACTTTAATTTTCACATTTTGTTATGTAGAAAAACATGACATTGACTTCGAAAACTGATTTCAATACATCGATCCCTTTGTCTGAGGTAATAAATTTTTATTCCTTCTCTTCATGTTTCCAAATATGAATAATTTATTTCTACATGCTTTGGATACATTTTAGGTTGTGAAGAAATCTAGCTTTACACCATTTCTTGATGGTGAAAGGTGCATTCTGTGTCACGAAAAGAGGCCTGCCCCAAGATCTTCAGGTGGGTCGGATTCTACGTAATGGTTTGCACTGTGATTTGATTTAATGGGGGTGAGGGGGTGAATCCTTTGCTAGCCTTGTATACAGGGGGGTGCAAGAGAGGTGTTGACTTCCCTGGGCAATTCCACAACATAGACAAAACATAAGAGAAAAATCTTACTATAGTTCTTTGTGAAAAACATATCAATAGTTATAGATAATGACCTTAAGTGCATAGAAATTGAAGCTTGGGCTTAAAAACATCAATTCTGAGAATTTTCTAGGCATGATAAATGGTGGCCTCAACTTAATAATTATGCGGTCACAATATGGACGACATTTAGGGATAAAAATTTTGAGTGTTAAATGTTACTGAGAAGGTTCATTTCAACAACAATCATTTGAATAAGCTTTGAGATGTAATAGGATATGTTTAAATCTAGGTTACCACGTATGTATAACATAATTACATTCATCAATTGAGGTGTCTGTAATATGTAAGTCAGTCACAAAATGAATTTAATTTTTATCTTCTTTAAAAAATTACTTAATACAACTTCTAAAATACACTTTGCATTATAAATTTATACTCTTACAATCAATAAAAGCTAAAAAGATCAAGTTCCGTGTCCAATATGACAAGTGTTAAAACTCGTGACATCAGTCACATTTATCTGTAACGTCAGTCACATGTAACGTCAGTCACAACATAGAAAAGCTTTAAATCACGCGAATCAAGATAAAATTTAGTACATATGAATTAGATAAAGTCCTTGCGCATTCAATTCATTACTGCTGACCAAAACGCTTAGTAAAATTGTATTCGTGTCTGGTTTTGCGTTATGTTTAAACCACGATGCCACTAACTGCAGCTCAAAGACAAGCTAAAAGGAGACAAGAATTGAAAGATACTGATAAAAATGAAGAGTACGAAAGAAAGAATGCAGAACAACAACGAATAGCGAGGGCTGAAAAGAGAATAAAAGAAGATCGGCTACCAGCGGGTGAGAAAACCAAGTTGCAAGCAGAAAGAAGAAAGCATGTCAGAGCACGTGTTGCTGCATGTCGAGCACGAAAGAAGCAACCGAAATCAAACTATGTCTCACCCCCTACTTCACCAGCTTGTAAAAGTGCACTGGCTTTAGGAAGAACTGTTTCCAGAGCAAACTGAGCTAGAACTGCAGCTTTGCCTCATGCACCAAAGCGCAAAAGAGCTGTTGTCCAAAAATTGTCACAAAAATTCCAAATAGAATGTGGTACCTCCCGTGATGAAGTCACTCCACAAACAATTGCAAGAAAAATAAGTGACGAAACCATCAATTTGGTAAAAGCGTTTTACGAACGTGATGATATCAGTCGCCAAGCTCCTGGCAGAAAAGATTTTGTTATAATTCGTGAGGCAGATGGTTCAAAAAAGAAAGTTCAAGCTCTGCACCTCAATATGTGTATCATTGAAGTGCATGCACTTTTCAAGGACGCTAACCCAACTACTAAGATCGGAAAAGGAAATTTGTTGAGCTGAGGCCCAGGCACGTTCTTCTGAGCAGTCAACTACCTCGAAATGTCTGTCTTTGCAAGTATCACGAAAACTTCATTATGGCTGTAAACAGTCTTAATAAAGTAATTCTTATTTTCCCGCCATATGATCAGGATCTTCCTGAAAAATTCCTCTGTCAGTCTGTCACGGAAAATGCTGGTTCAACGAATGTCCCACCTGTAAAGACGCAAAGATGCTCAGAAGTATGTTTTCCTTTGAAGAGGTAGTGCCAGTTACCTGGCATTTTTGGAAGAAAGATGGCGATGATAAATTGTGCAAGATGGCGATGATAAATTGTGCAAGATGGCAATGATAAATTGTGCAAGATGGTCATGGAAGGCACCACAGATGATCTGTTTAATCATATCTGCTCTGAGCTAGCAGCATTCTTAAAGCATTGTTGTATAAAGCGGTGTCAAGCGAAGAGCTATCAAATGGAACGAGAAGCTGTTGAAGTGAAAATTTTGACCAAGCACGTGCTATGATGCAAGGGAACTTCTCCGAGAATTATTCCTGCATGTTTCAAGACGAGATTCAAAGTGCTCATTGGAAGCAAGACCAAGTCAGCCTTTTCACAGCAGCACTTTGGTTTAATGGAGAGCTACATTCCAAAGTCATTGCATCAGATAATTTGGATTGTGGAAAGGATACAGTGGTTGCATATATTTACTAATTGCTTGATAGCCTTCCAACAACAGTGAATACTGTCTTAATATGGTCTGATGGTCCTTCATCACAATTTAAGAATAAATACATCGCTGCAGTCATAGATAAACTGCAAGATAAACACCAAATTACAATCACATGGAACTATTTTGCTACATCCCGTGGAAAAGGACCAGTCGATGGAATTGGTGGTTCAGTAAAACGACAAGTGTGGACTGATGTCAACAGGAGAGCCTCTCTTGTAACTGATGCTACTTCTTTCACAGCAACCGCAAATAAAGTGTGCAATGTGGATGTGGTGGAGATGACATCTGATGATATTGACATCAGAAATGCCATTCTTAATGTTGCAGAAGTGTTTGAGGAAGCCCTACCATGAAAGGTATAAAATCTGTCCATTGCATTCATGTTATCAACTCAGTGGCACATGTGCATGCTACAACACAAGCCGCAAAGGACGTAAATGTACATCAAGGGACGCAAATGTACATCAAGCTCCATCTGACTGTGAAAACTATAAGGTGTCAAGTTGGTGTGTTGACCAATATGAGGCTGAGCTATTTCCTGTGGAGATAAAGGCAATTGTTGGTGATAGCTATGAAGTATCAGTCATGGTTAAAGCTGGTAGATATTGGAAGTGGCCAAGATATGAGGACAAAACTCTCTATTCTCGTGACAATGTACTGAGAGCATTACGTTCACCACAGTTGGTAAACTCACGAGACCACTATGATTTCCCAGATTTCAACTACCTCAATATTGAATGATGAAACAGTGTTTATCATGTAAAAAAATGTTTAAAGAGTGAGTGAGGTAGACTGATCATGCTTTTGGTGACCATTGTAATTTATGATTTAACAATGACAGTTTTGTAACGTCAGTCACGTAACATCAGTCACATTGTTTTTCGTTGCTGCACCCCCCTTGCCTTGAAAGTGAGTTTCTGTGTATAAATTTATTATATTAATAGATGTTATGAATTTGATAAACTAAGTTGGAAATATAATCTTTTTACGTTTCAAGAGAAAATTTCATTAAATTTGGGTGCTAAAAAGTCAATTTTATGTAACATCAGTCACAACCACTTTAATGTCGAACACAATAGAAAAACTTAAAATTTAGTTTAGTTTCATGTCGACAACAGATACAGGGTGTAGTTAGTAAAATTTAATAAAAAAAATGGAAGGGTGAAATATTATAGCGAAGAATTAATAAAGGTTTTTCGCATCAACGAATCCTTCAAATGTAACGTCAGTCACATGGAATAGCCCCCTACAAAATACTACTGTACCAAGCAATTAAGCAAAGCAATTATGATTTATGAGTATTGGAGCACACTCTCAAAAATATCTCTCAATCATGGTATAAGAAATACAGAGTTTTTCAAAAAGGTATTGTGATATGGCACAGTGGCAGGCACAAAGTATCTCCTGAGAAATTTAATCCAAATCACAGTACCCAAAATTATATGGGATCCATCTCTGTATTTGTTTATTGAGAACATTACATTACACTATACGTGCTTGCATTAACTTGTTGTTTATTGAGAACATTACATTACACTATACGTGCTTGCATTAACTTCGTAATTCTGCTCACATTTTTTTAGATAAATGTCTCGAGGCTCGCGAAGCATTGTTTGGTACGCAAAATCTTGTTGAAAAGGTATTGAGGCATTGTTCTTCTGTTGATGTTTGTTTTTGGCAGCAATTATTGCAAGAGAAGCGGAATGTTAATTTCCCATGTAGTGCTGTGCGAACTCCGAGGGTTTCACCTCCGAGGGTTAACCTCCGAGAGTTTAACCTCTGACTCCAGTTCCGGACGAGAAAACTCCGTCTTTGGCTACAAGAATCTGGCTTCTGCCAGCAAAAGCTGCTCCCCTTTTTTATAAATTAAATCAAGTTTTTGCTCCGGTAGAAAGTTTACGACTCCGAGAATTCAGGAAATTTAAAAGTGAAGCGTACTGTTTATCAGTACGTAACTATAGTTTCCGCCAGTAAAAAAACTAGCTTAGACGTCATTGATAATGTACGTGGAAACGACAAAGAAGATACTGCCAGAAGTGTGTAAGTGTTGACCATTTCTCCTTGTGGCGGCGCTGATATTGACCGGTCTTCCAAATATTGCAACAACCGAATTTGCAAATTTTGCTTTGAACGAAGAAAAGGTTTTTATGAAAGACTCTTCGTTGACTTTTCTCAGAATCGTTCTTCTCTGTTTCTGTGGAAGTTTTTGCTTTTTCAACATCAATACTTTCGTATGTTTGCTGTGTTTTTTTGTAGGAATTTCGACTTCTATTTAGTGAGACTTTTACGAAGATCTCACAGCCGGAGTTTTTTATTTTGACTTCGACTGCGGCTACTTACGTACGTACATCAAAACTCCGGCTCCGATGCACGGCACCATTTTCGTGTGGAGGCATTTTTAAAGCAAATTTTCGAACAGTCTTTTAAAACATGAAATGTACAGTTTGAAATGTCAAAAAATTTTATAACTACTTCATGTACGTTAAAACAGCTTCTTTGTAAACCATCCTCGGAGATGCGCTCAAAATTAGTGTGACATATTTTTCTGACATGTCAGAGGGTATCGAAATTCATTGCCTCAAACACGTTCAGCTCTAGGCGTGCCAACATTTTTTTTAAGCGCCAAATTTTCATCTGGTTAAATATTAACAGCTAAATTAGCTACCACCGTGATAGATGGGATCGCTGTCCAACTACAAAATAAAACTCCAGATCTTGTCAAACTAAGATGAAATGAAAACATACAAAAATAAAGCAAAAGCAACGCATTGTAGCTACCTACGTTTATGCATTACGTATTTAGAATTTTCACTTCGTGTTTTCCAGTATTTCCCGCGAGCCATGCCGCTTCGCTAAATCGCGCAGATGCTTCGCAAATTGTGAAGTGCGAGTCTTCAATTCATACCCTGACATGTTGTGTGATTTTTCCTTCTTTTTCTTGTGAAAAGCTTATTTTTGTATTGACCAGTTGCCGCTATGGATGTCAACCCGTAACGTAGTATTTTTACATCTTTGATTTTTGTGCTTGCCAGCTGCCGTTGTGGGTATGTCCGGATTGTCGTAAGAAAGTTGAAGAGGATGAAGAAAAAGGAGGATTCGAGTCGAACGTCCATTCAGTCGTGCGTTCATTCTGTCATGTATCTTCATTCAAAATCCGCGATCATTGCCGCGAGGGCGACTAAACGAGGTTTTTTCTTATGCAGGACAACGATGGAAGAATACAGTCATGGGAAAGCAATACCAACTCATATGTGTCAGAGGAATCCAAAAAAGATCTTTGCAGTTGTAACGTATGTGCTGGTAAAAGGTGAGTAAGGCCTAGTTCAAACGTCGAATTTACATGAAGCGAACGCATTTAAAACAAAAGATAATGAGGAAGTTCATCTCATTTTCTTTTCTCTTTAATGCGTTCGGCTCATGTAAAGTTCGAGGTTTTAAACAGGCCTAAGATTATAAAAAGACGTTTTGTGTATGCACTTGTGTTCAGCTTAAAATTATTTAAGTGCCTTATATCAAGGTCAGGAAAATAACTTCTTTAGATTTGGTAGCACGAAAATTTTATCTTCCTTTGTTTTTGTGGCCCAGAAATAGTTGACTCTGTTACGTAAAAAAGAAAGCACATGCATTGAAAGTATAGCTTTTACTGTACCGAATAAAGCTGTTTTTGCAAATCGTCTTAAAAACCACACGACAAATTCAATAAGCTGCATATGTGGAGAGTTTGACGTCATTGTTTGAGCGAATAATCAAAGAAAACGTTAAAAGGTAAAACACGTCACTTCCGGCTTGAATTCACCAAACACTAGGCACAAAAAAGCCACGAAGATGAAATTTTTGACTCATCGATTATATTGCAAATGTTCTTAAGATTGATTTAACCATCGGAAAAAGTTATTTCTCTGACCTTGATGTCGCCATTATAAGGTACTGCTATCAGCTTTACTATGGAAACATCTATGTACTTTTCTAAACAGGCATTTGGTACCAGCGAAGACCAAGGAGATTGAAGAGCTACAGGTTTGTCATTTCATAAAGTTTTGTTATTGGTTGATCTAGTAGCTATTTATAAGCAAGAAATAGTTGGTTAATTGAAAGTAGCGTTTCGTCTTTACGCAAGAGATCTTCAGACAAATAAGTGTGTTGATTAAAGTGTGCGTTTGTAAAACAATGTGTATGGAAAAAAGAAGAGCTTTAGAAACTAGCCCATCACGAAATTTCAACGCCTGATCACTATACTGATCACTGCATGTATGTTGACAGTTAATCTTTTTATGAGCAGGTAGATTTCATCGGAATGATCAATATGATTCCATAGGTTTTACTCTGCTGCTATACGTACGTCGTATAAGACAGCAAAAAATTCTATCGCCCTTCCACAATGCAGTCGACAAATTAACTTGAATTTCTTCTTGATGTTTTTTACGAATGCAAATCTGGACATTTTATATCCCAACCTATTTATCAATAAAATGAATAAACATTGCTGCGTACAGCTACGTAGCTAAGGCAACTGTCTTCAATTCTTTTCTAACAGTTTTCATGGTCGGAGGTAAAACACTTCGTACGATGTGTTTATAGAAAAGCTGGCACAACCTTAGCAGGTAGAGTAGCATGTTCTTAATGATACTTTCTTTAAAATAGCGTCACTTCATACCCTATCTATTCAATCATTAAATCTATTTTAGATGACGATACTTTATCCAAAACATCGCTTGACATGGACCGAATGAAGCGTCACACCGAAAAGTAATTCTCAACTGTAGCTATCCCATTCACATGGATTTAGGTTTTGTTACTGTTGTTGACTGAATGTCGGAAATATTGTAGTTATGTTACTATTGTTGACTGAATGTCGAAAATATTGTAGTTATGTTACTGTTGTTGACTGAATGTCGAAAATATTGTAGTTATGTTACTCTCGTTGACTGAATGTCGAAAATATTGTAGTTATGTTACTGTTGTTGACTGAATGTTGAAAATATTGTAGTTATGTTACTCTCGTTGACTGAATGTCGAAAATATTGTAGTTTTGTTACTATTGTTGACTGAATGTCGAAAATATTGTAGTTATGTTACTCTCGTTGACTGAATGTCGAAAATATTGTAGTTATGTTACTGTTGTTGAATGAATGTCGAAAATATTGTAGTTATGTTACTCTCGTTGACTGAATATCGAAAATATTGTAGTTATGTTACTGTTGTTGACTGAATGTCGAAAATATTGTAGTTATGTTACTATTGTTGACTGAATGTCGAAAATATTGTAGTTATGTTACTGTTGTTGACTGAATGTCGAAAATATTGTAGTTTTGTTACTATTGTTGACTGAATGTCGAAAATATTGTAGTTTTGTTACTATTGTTGACTGAATGTCGAAAATATTGTAGTTATGTTACTCTCGTTGACTGAATGTCGATAATATTGTAGTTTTGTTACTATTGTTGACTGAATGTCGAAGATATTGTAGTTTTGTTACTGTTGTTGACTGAATGTCGAAAATATTGTAGTTTTGTTACTGTTGTTGACTGAATGTCGAAAATATTGTAGTTATGTTACTTTTGTTGACTGAATGTCGAAAATATTGTAGTTTTGTTACTGTTGTTGACTGAATGTCGAAAATATTGTAGTTATGTTACTGTTGTTGACTGAATGTCGAAAATATTGTAGTTATGTTACTGTTGTTGACTGAATGTCGAAAATATTGAAATATTGTAGTTTTGTTACTGTTGTTGACTGAATGTCGAAAATATTGTAGTTTTGTTACTGGATCGTGACTAAAACACCACACGAGTACATACGAGTACATACGAGTACATACGAGTACATACGAGTAGCATACGAGTACATACGAGTAACATACGAGTACATACGAGTAACATACAAGTACAAACGAGTAACATACGAGTACATACGAGTGACTACGACTATTTTCTGGTCAACAAATGCGAAACAACACAATTTCTTCAATACATTGATATTTGCGTTTATTTTTCCTTGTATTTGTGTGGACTTTGGGGCAACCATTTGATGGATTTAAATGCTGAAAAGGTATTTTACTTTCATACTACATTCATTTGTATGTTTTAGTTGAATTTGTTATAGATATTTTGTCGATGCGATTTGCCAGTATTTGAGCGCTTTTTGACACACTTTCACCAAGGAAATACATATTTATGAAAGCGATTAAATAAACAACGTATAAATGCTTTCAAAACGTGCTATATGAAATAAATGTACATCATATATATTTGAATTAAATGAGAGTTGCACTGTGTTACGTATATATATCATATTACGCGTACAATTTCAGCTTACTTTTAATGTTTTTAAAGTTCTAGCTGATATAATTCAGTCTTTTAACTGCAAAATAAGTATCTCAAAGACCAAAATGAATGTATAATCGCTTTCATAAATATGTATTTCCTTGGTGAAAGTGTGTCAAAAAGCGCTCAAATACTGGCAAATCGCATCGACAAAATATCTATAACAAATTCAACTAAAACATACAAATGAATGTAGTATGAAAGTAAAATACCTTTTCAGCATTTAAATCCATCAAATGGTTGCCCCAAAGTCCACACAAATACAAGGAAAAATAAACGCATATATCAATGTATTGAAGAAATTGTGTTGTTTCTCATTTGTTGACCAGAAAATAGTCGTATGTCACTCGTATGTACTCGTATGTTACTCGTATGTACTTGTATGTTACTCGTATGTACTCGTGTGGTGTTTTAGTCACGATCTTGTTACTGTTGTTGACTGAATGTCGAAAATATTGTAGTTTTGTTACTATTGTTGACTGAATGTCGAAAATATTGTAGTTATGTTACTCTCGTTGACTGAATGTCGAAAATATTGTAGTTTTGTTACTATTGTTGACTGAATGTCGAAAATATTGTAGTTATGTTACTGTTGTTGACTGAATGTCGAAAATATTGCAGTTATGTTACTATTGTTGACTGAATGTCGAAAATATTGTAGTTATGTTACTGTTGTTAACTGAATGTCGAAAATATTGTAGTTTTGTTACTGTTGTTGACTGAATGTCGAAAATATTGTAGTTATGTTACTCTCGTTGACTGAATATCGAAAATATTGTAGTTATGTTACTATTGTTGACTGAATGTCGAAAATATTGTAGTTATGTTACTGTTGTTTACTGAATGTCGAAAATATTGTAGTTTTGTTACTGTTGTTTACTGAATGTCCAAAATATTGTAGTTATGTTACTGTTGTTGACTGAATGTCGAAAATATTGCAGTTATGTTACTATTGTTGACTGAATGTCGAAAATATTGTAGTTATGTTACTATTGTTGACTGAATGTCGAAAATATTGTAGTTATGTTACTGTTGTTTACTGAATGTCGAAAATATTGTAGTTTTGTTACTGTTGTTTACTGAATGTCGAAAATATTGTAGTTATGTTACTGTTGTTGACTGAATGTCGAAAATATTGCAGTTATGTTACTATTGTTGGCTGAATGTCGAAAATATTGTAGTTATGTTACTGTTGTTAACTGAATGTCGAAAATATTGTAGTTTTGTTACTGTTGTTGACTGAATGTCGAAAATATTGTAGTTATGTTACTCTCGTTGACTGAATATCGAAAATATTGTAGTTATGTTACTATTGTTGACTGAATGTCGAAAATATTGTAGTTATGTTACTGTTGTTTACTGAATGTCGAAAATATTGTAGTTTTGTTACTGTTGTTTACTGAATGTCCAAAATATTGTAGTTATGTTACTGTTGTTGACTGAATGTCGAAAATATTGCAGTTATGTTACTATTGTTGACTGAATGTCGAAAATATTGTAGTTATGTTACTATTGTTGACTGAATGTCGAAAATATTGTAGTTATGTTACTGTTGACTGAATGTCGAGAATATTGTAGTTTTGTTACTATTGTTGACTGAATGTCGGAAATATTGTAGTTTTGTTACTCTCGTTGACTGAATGTCAAAAATATGTATTTAGTATGTTTACGTGGTTCAATTTGTAAGGAGGTTGATGTGTGACAATGTAACTATCCTCCCCCCCCTGCTTGCCATAAAGGTCTTTTACCTAGTTTATAAGTAGGTTGAGGTGTGACAACACTACCAACACTACCCCCCCTTCATACCACATGTCTCTTTACCCAAAAGGAATTGTCTACAATTGATGACATGGTTTGATTTCAGATTAACAAAAAAAGATGCGTACCAGCTGTATCAACGACTCGAAGTTCAAGCCAGGTTGGCACCAGTTTTCTTGATTGTTTTAGTTATAGGGTGTTCCAAAATAAACGGAACCCGCACAAATAGTGATGTATGCATCAAATGATGCCTGCGTAGGATAGTTTAGTCTGCAAAAGCTACATATTTGTTCCGCCTGGTTTATTTAGTCATACGCTTTTCCTTGTTCCTTATGGAAATAATGATGACGTTTTTGTAGTCTTTATAACTCAGTTAATGTCGCTTTGATGTCACAAAGCTTTTGCGTGATAAATTTGAGATGAAAATCTGTGTATAAAGTACTTGCTTTTCCATGTTCGTTGCAACTTATGGAAAAGATGATGACGTTTTTGTAGCCTTTATAACTTAGTTAATGTCGCTCTGATGTCACAAAGCTTTTGCGTGATAAATTTGGGATGAAAATCTGTGTATAAAGTACTTTTAACTTGTTTTACCCTATGAAATCCCAGAGGCGCAGAAATGTCAAGTTCAAACTGTTTTGAATGCTAGTTATATTATTGTGCATAATCATTTCAGCGAATTCATATTTATTTTTGCTGGTTTCGTTTTTTTATGGCACATGCTGTGTGTCGAGGTCGGTGTTGTGACGTCATGGTAGTGACGTCGTTGTTTATTGTTCTGTTTTCTCTAGAGAGTATCTTAATGAAGTCAGAGTAAGCCTCGTGAAATTTTACTCCTCGACGTCCTCTAACTCATTGCAACATGCCAAAGATTGCGTCATGACGCTACTGGACGAGTACAAATCGTTGTGCGTGGCCACGGATATACTCAAACCGTTTTTTCAAAAACTGGTTAGTTTGGTAACATCGTGATCATAGTTAAAGGCCAGCGGACGTGGAAAGCCCCGCAAATTTAGTCATGCCGTGTAAATTTCAGAACTTCATCATTGTTTATTTCTTAAGAAAACTACTGTTTTCACAGCATGCTTGTATAATTGAGTTTTTTTTGCGGGTAGGCCCCAAAAAACTCGCAGTTATCCCTAACAGGTCTAAAGTCCTAGTGCGAACTAGCAATGCCGATTCTTCATTCTTATGCATTGAAACCCCCCAATTGCTCGAAGGAGTCTGGCCGGTAAATAATAGAAATGTTTTTGGAGAAATCTAAATTTCACACTTCTTATGTGCGCACGAGTTCTTTTGACTACAGTTGGCTGTTGGCTTCAGGCAATTGCGGTTAGCTCGGCTACCTAAGATCTCAACATACGACATTCGTGTTTCACACTAAGTGAACACAAAAGAAGAAATTCAAAGCAGGACTAAATTTGCCGTGTGGCTTCGTCACTGCGTTGAAATATAATTTTTGAGCTAGAAGTTGTTATTGCGGCATTCATTTTATTATCTATGCACTTCGAGTTTTGTTGAAGGAAGAAAATACAGTCGAACATCCCGTAAGCGTACACTGTGTAGGCCTGTTTCAAACGTCGAATTTTGCATGTGTCGGATACAATTATTACACGACGTTTTCGCTTTTTCTCGTTCCAGACTTCGTTTTGAGTAAAATGCGCGAGCCAAGTTGTATTCGACACATGCAAAATTCAGCGGTTGAAACGACGTCGCACTTTCGTCGCAAAATGCGACGAAACCGGTCGAATTTAAAGTTAAGATCGACCTCAATTAATGCAGTCGAATTTAATTATTTCATACGTCGAATTTTGCATGCACTTAATTCAAACTATTTTATTCGACACATGCAAAATGAAAACAGGCCTTAGACCGAAAATTGGCAACATTTACTGGTGTTGTCCCTTATGAGAAGTTATGAGTGGTAATAGTGTATTGGCAAGGACTCACAAGCAGTGTTCTCTCACATGAGAGGTATCCGTATTTAGAGAAGTTTTGAGTGGTAATAGTATATTGGCAAGGACACACAAGCAGTGTTCTCTCACGTGAGAGGTATCCGTATTTAGAGAAGTTATGAGTGGTAATAGTGTATTGGCAAGGACACACAAGCAGTGTTCTCTCACGTGAGAGGTATCCGTATTTAGAGAAGTTATGAGTGGTAATAGTGTATTGGCAAGGACCCACCAGCAGTGTTCTCTCACGTGAGAGGTATCCGTATTTGAGAAGTTATGAGTGGTAATAGTGTATTGGCAAGGACCCACAAGCAGTGTTCTCTCACGTGAGAGGTATCCGTATTTAGAGAAGTTATGAGTGGTAATAGTGTATTGGCAAGGACACACAAGCAGTGTTCTCTCACGTGAAAGGTATCCGTATTTAGAGAAGTTATGAGTGGAAATAGTGTATTGGCAAGGACCCACAAGCAGTGTTTTCTCACGTGAGAGGTATCCGTAAACACAGGTTCGACTGTATCAAAAACAAGCGCATTATTTCATCGGAAATGCTTCGTGAACTCAATGTTCGATCTTTAAAAATCCACCACCTGCCACAGATTAGGCTGCATTCCTTGTCGAGTACCGTGCGATTTTTCTTGTTGATTTTAGGAAGATGATTTGTTGGTGAAATGGAAATGGTCTTGGGAGCTGATGAACAAGGAATTATTTAAAGAGGAAATCTTTCACGATTCGATCATCGGTCTGAATTTCCCGTTGTTATTCCAGCAATTAGTAAGGTCAGTGTAAGTCTATCTCCTGTTATCTATAGGTCAGTGTAAGTCTATCTCCCGTTATCTATAGGTCAGTGTAAGTCTATCTCCCGTTATGCATAGGTCAGTGTAAGTCTATCTCCCGTTATCTATAGGTCAGTGTAAGTCTATCTCCCGTTATCTATAGGTCAGTGTAAGTCTATCTCCCGTTATCTATAGGTCAGTGTAAGTCTATCTCCCGTTATCTATAGGTCAGTGTAAGTCTATCTCCCGTTATCTATAAGTTCACTCACACTCAATGAGTGGGGTTTCAAAATCACCTCATAATTATTCGAAGACGGTATTTTCATGTCACTGGTTGCTTGATTTGAAATATTTTAGCAAAAATCTTGCCATCACTAAAGAAACGACTTTGCCATTGATTAGTGAGAGCGCAATTCGAAAAGTCTGAGTGTGTGTGAGCTTTTAGAGTACAGGCGTTCGTCTTTTCTTGGCGTCTAATTTAACGTTTATCGTATCAGAAAAGCAGCCCTTAATTTAACGTTTATCGTATCAGAAAAGCAGCCCGTAATTTAACGTTTATCGTATCAGAAAAGCAGCCCTTAATTAGTGGTAATATTCTTCTTACAGAAGTGAAACGTCAACATCTGGAAACGACGAAAATCATAAATCGGAGATCATGAAGAGGTTTGCTTTTTTCAATCGTCTGTGTAGTTGCATACATACAGCCTACTTTCTTTCTCTTGAAGCTTTCACTGGTGTAAGGCACCATTTTAAGCTCTCGCTCCATTTACATAACAGATTTGAGGCTTTTACTTGGGAAGTGACGGACGTCGACGATAGATGGTTGGCAACAAAGCCGCTATTGGAAATATACGAACGCGAAAACGTATGTGTGTTGTTGCCATCACGGTTTTTTTTGCTGTTGAAGCGTCTAAACGTCTCAGCATTTGTCGTCTTATTAGGGTAGTGAAAAAAGAGGGGAGTTCGAGAACTGGGACGAGCCATTAAAGGTGACCATATTTTCGAGCGAAATATTGCTTGCATGTGTTGGTTGCTCTATATGTAAGCTAATCGCTAACTTTTCGTAATTTTATTCTTCCTCAGAACACTAAGCGAGAAAACAGGTATGTTTGCATCGTCACCTGTGTTTTGGTGGGTCAGTATTTGTAAGTGTGTGTGTTCGGGGGGGGGTGGGGGGAGGTTAACTACGAGTTCAGTAAGTCAACTCAAATTTGCAGTTTTCCAGTGTTCAGTTTTAGCAAGGGCTCTATATCGTATTTAGATGTCATTCATCCGAAGCTTTTTTAATCCTAGCTAGCTATGTCTTATTTCTTTTTTCTAATTTTCAATCGAAGTAGCATTGCAAAATAGCTACTAAAATGATGATTTTAGATGCGGCCAAGATTTTATCTACGATGGAGTAAAATTTATATAAGCTGTGACATTTCGCTGTAGTCTTATAATTGTGACAATGTTGATCTTTTCTTTGAGCTTTTTTGCATTATTTGCGAGAGATGTTTGTCTCCGACGACTTCTGAAATAAAACAAATGAAAACAATTCTCAAATTTCATGTCGCGTGGTCAGTCTGAAAATTTTGTCCGGCTATTCCTTTTTTCCCGTATTCTTTCACTTTAAAAACATCAGGTTTCTACCGGCTATTCCTTTTTTTCCGTATTCTTTCACTTTAAAAACATCAGATTTCTAAGGGAATAATAATGCCAGTGCTCTGCAATTTTCGTAGCAGGAACAAATTTGCGCTACTGTGCTTTATAACTTCGTTCGTACACTTCGAAGATCTAATTTGTGACTTTGAACATGTGAGTTTGGCTCGAAGTTAGAAAACGTAGTAGCAAGGAAAAAACCCCAAATTTTACGCCCTCTTTGCGATCTCTTTCTATGAATAATCAGTAGTATCCTGCTAGTATTCTATTCTATTGCGAATGCTTTAATTTGATTGGTTACTCTCTATCTATCTTGCGTCTCTGACTTTCCATTGCTACAATTTTTTTTTGATAATACTCTTTTAACACGACGAATATTCCTTTATTGAGAAGTAAATTTTCTTTCATTTTCCAAATCTTGTAAGTTTTGTTTTAAAAAATTTATCTTATTACATATAGATGCACGTGTGGTCACTGCGACTTTCTCACATCTGAAAGTACAACGGTATCCATCAAACGACCCTTGCCATCATCCCATATTGCTAACCCATATTGTTCTTGGAATGCGCAGATTGGTTGTAGGAATGGAACCGAGTTGACATCAACGTCCCCGACGGGCATGTTTCTCGATCGTTTGTCGACGTCAAACTGCGCGTCGTGCATGCGTGAGGCACTTCATTCGTTCTGCTTTGATCAGGTGTGTACAAAACTACAAATTTTTAATTATGGCGTGATGAAGCAAGGTCGGACTATTTATATCAATATTTTATTTCGTCAGAGATTTCCGTTGTGAAAAGCAAAACGATGTGTCGAAATAGAGTGCCGTCCCTAGAACTTCATTAGGAGGTAGAATGGCGGGAGGTTATTCATAATTCAGTTGTTCTCGACTGATTTCTTTCGAAGACAATTCACTGAAGGAATTAAGCAATTTACGTTCGAAAGAATTGATGTCGAGCTCAACTGAATACATTAATAATCCTCCCCTCCCCATAAATAAACACTCTTGGGACGGCTCAGGTCGTAGTGTCGATAGTAATAATTTATCCTCAAGTTACTCGGTCTTTGAAATTACTGTTCGATAAATTAAATAACATACATTTGAAGAGATGTTTTTAGGGTAAGGTACAATAAAATTCAAGGACTTCCTATCAGCACCGAAATTTAGAAACACTCTTGTTTAGAGATAAACTGATAAAGTCGCGCGTTTAAGCTTACTGTCTTAAATGAACTTTCTTTGGGCTGTGCGTGGAAAGATTGGGACTAGCGTGAAAAAGTTGGGACTAGCGTGGAAAGATTAAGACTAGTTAAAATGCAAATAGACCTTACGCTTAATGAAGACTAGAAATTTCTTCCATTTCTATAAGGTGAATTCGATTTCTATATAGAACACGTTCCCTAACACCTGTCAGTATCATACCGACCACGATCCTCCCAAACCCCCCAGCCATCCCAAATCGTCCCAATGTCTTTATCAGAGTTCCTATGATCCCTTCTTGTACAATAACGATCCCCTTTCTCCCGAAACTGCTTCGTCCATACAGAACCTGTTAGTTAATGGCACCAGTGGAAATCGTTGCCAAAACAATCCTTGTTGTACGCAACATTATGGTCAGTGTGATGACAAAAGATACAAGGAACAAAAGGGACATTGCATACCCCCGAGTATCACAATTCCAGGTATATGTGTTTACATTAATGTATAGCTGTCTTGCACGTGAATCTATATCACAATAGTGCTGGCAAAGTTTCTTTTTGAAGAATGTGTGTCAACGAAGATGCATTGCGTGCCAATCACGGTCTGACGCGGCCATTGAAATAAAATACATGGAACGCTACCTGTAATACAAAAGCCTAATAATTTTTTGAAGCCGTGATTTTGCCCCAGACACGCGTGTGTAGTCAATCAATTATTACTCCGCGAGAGAATCTCGAAACACTACACACGCGTGTCTGGGGTAAAATCTCGCGTGTCTGGGTGTAAGATTTGGCTATTGGATTTGGCTTCAATTATTTGCTTCAGGTAGCGTTGAATGTATTTATTTTAGTTCAATGGACACGGCCGTTTTTAGTTTATGAAAATGGCGGATTTTGAAATTGTCCAACGCCCCCAAAATTATCGCTGTGTTCATTCATTTGATGTGTGTCCAAGGCAGGCCTTTATTATTACTTTAAAACGTTGTTTTTAAGTAAACTTTAAAAACTTGCGATTTAAAAAGACTTCTTTGCCTGAGCGCGTGTCGTGGAAGGCCATTTGTGTTAAGTGAATCTTCAGAAAAACTACACGACGTTCTGTACATTCAATGTACTACAGGCTCAGTTGGTTATGATACAAACATATACAATCAGAGCCCAATATTCAGTGTATTTTTGTTTGTTTTTTTTATTCATGAATAGACAGCGATCACTACCTTAGAATTCTGGGACCTGTTGCACGAAACTTGGATTGCGTTATCCATTGGATAGTAAATTTATGTTTTCGTTACGACAAAGAAATTTTGTAATCTTTGAAGCAATGTTTTATTTCTGTGATTGCTCTCAGTTTAAACCTTAAGAAGTTTATTAACAGTTTGAAAAAGTTTGCTGTCCAATGGATATCGCTATCCTGACTTCGTGCAACCGGCCCCAGTTGTTTATCGATTTTATATGTAATATTAGAAAAGCATTTATTTATTGCAGTGGATGTAATTTATCTCTACGCTTTTAATACTGTTTTTGCCACAAGGAAGCGCGTAGATTTTTACTTTTCATCACTTTGATCGACACACTTTTTTCAAAGTCCTATTGCTTCAATTTCCTTAGGAAACGATTCAAATGTGGAAGCACCTCCTTCATCTCCGTCCAGTGACCGTAGTGTAGGTGATGGTAGCTCGTGTGATTCTCCTCCTAGTCCGTGCTCCTTATCCGATGATAGCAAGTCAAATAATGGCAAATATTGTGATTGTTGTTATTGCGAATTTTTCGGACAAGGCAATGTAAGTCATCTGGGCAAGATCATTATTTTTGTCGAGGTGGGGTTTGGATTGTGAGGTGAGAGTAGGCAAGGTGGGGAAAGATGCGCTAGTGGAAGGTGGAGTATGATGGGTGATGTGGAGTGGGTGAGATGAGATAGAGTGGATGTGCCGGAGTAAGGTGGGTACGATGGATGTTGTAGAGTGGAAGTGTAGTGTGGAAGTGTAGTGAAGTTAGAGTGATGTGGCATGGAATGCAAATGAATTGGAGGTAACTTTATCTAAGATTGGAGATTGTCATACACCTGCGTTCTAAAAGCTCACACTCACTGAGCTTCTGAGCTTCAAAATCACCTCATAACTATTCAAGGACGGTATTTTCACATTACCGATTGCTTGATTTCAAATATTTTTGCAAAATTCTTGCCCTTGATTTATAAAGAAATTTACTATTGAAGATTGGCGAGAGCACAATATCTGTATCGCACTCAGCGAGTGTAAGCGTGTGTGTGTGTGTGTGTACCACGTTTTGAATACAGGCAATAGTCAACAAGCAGAACGGTCTTTGACCTAAACCATCCATCAGTACTTCCTTTAGACAAATTATTGCAAGAGCACATATATTCTACGTATGTTTACAGCCTCCTGTCGCTCAAACTAGCCATAACTTCGTCGAAATGCGAGAAAAACTAAGATCACGTTTGAAGGAGAGAAAGGTTGGTTGTATTTCCTGAAGTGCCTCTTGTCCGTTGAAAATTTTTTCACTAATTTTTCCTGTTCGCAGGCGATCGATTTCCCGGATAATCCAAAAGCTCTAAGGTGTATTACAGATACTCGCTCCGTTGATGAATTGCTGACGTTCATAAACGGCGATGAAGAAAGGAATGTATCAAATAAGACTGCTACTAAAGCAGCTAAACGGCAGAGAAAAAAACAGAAAAAGGTAACACGATGTCATTTGAAGCACAAACATTACGCTTGAAATTCACTTATTTTCTCGTTTAAGAGTTTTTCTGTTGTTCTCAGTGTGAGAGATGTAAATTCTACGTGACTGAAACTTGAAACTTGTTTAAAATATGTTCTTCAGTTTCGGTGTTGTAAATTTAATGTGACTAGAACATGTAAAAAATATGTTCTTCAGTTTCGGTGTTGTAAATTTAATGTGACTAGAACATGTATAAAACGTGTTCTTCAGTTTCGGTGCTGTATATTAAATGTGACTAGAACATGTAAAAACGTGTTCTTCAGTTTCGGTGTTGTAAATTTAATGTGACTAGAACATGTAAAAAACGTGTTCTTCAGTTTCGGTGTTGTAAATTTAATGTGACTAGAACATGTAAAAAATGTGTTCTTCAGCTTCATGTAACTACTAAAACATGTAAAAAACACATTCTTCAGTCTGTACCAAATACGTTCCTCGGTTTTTCAGCGTTGTGTTGCATGTTATTTGTCATCTCTCCTTACAAAAAGTTGACATGTTAATTTAAAATTCAGATCTTTCCAGTGCAAAAGTAAAGAAGGCATTATCCTATGATAAATACTACTGAAATACGTTTGAATGAAAAAATATTTCGATAATAGAGTGTTGACGTAACCTAATCTCAATCTAATCTTAATCTAAATCTTAATCTTAATCTAATCTATTTTTACAATAGAGTGTTAACGTAATCTAATCGCAGTCTAGTCTAAATCTTAATCTAATCTAAATTTAATCTAAATCTGATCTAATCATCCTACTATTGCTCTGATCTTATCATCGTTCTAACCTCCAACTAGGCTGTGGAAAAGGGTGATATTTCTTGTCAAGACTCCGGTCTGTCCGAGCCCAAGGGCAAGCAAGAGGGACGACCTCTCATATGTAAGGTCGAATCAGAAAAAGCTTCACAACAAGAGTCGGACAAAAGGAAATCGCAGGAAAGTTTAACTGAGAAAAAAAACGCTGAAAATTATTTAAAGTCTCTAAATAACATAACGAAGCAGGAAGAAACGACAGCCAAACACGGTCAGGGTGTGGGAGTTAAACTAAAGACGGTGAATCATGCGAACGTGCAAAAGAAAAACAAGGCAGAGAAAGAAGTTGTCACAAAAGACGGTGAACATAAGAAAACGAGGATGGCAAATGGCTACAGCAGTAAATGTGCGAATTTTGTGGAGGAATCGCACGAGCAAAGGTTTTCTGCTGGAAAGAAAGACGAAAGTAAATGCTGCGATGAAGAGGAGGTTCCATCTCAAGAAACAGACTATCAAAAAAGAAAAACAAAAAATCGTAAGAAAAAGAAAGCTCAGTGTTTAGGTGAGTTATTTGCTTCGTTGTATGTGAAGATTGAGCCAGCTAACATTTAGTCAAAGCGGTGGATGTTGAGGCAGCTTGCTCGCTGGCTGAATTTCATTATTCACGCCAAATATTTATATTGCGTGTGCAATTAACGAAAGGAAAGTAAATCAGCCGGAAAGACGAGTCACTGGAACTCTGATTTAACCATGTCTGCGAAATGAATTCTGTTGCAACTGTAGAAAAACACATGTTTTTCGAAACCCTCACAGATAGGTTGGATTTTGCTGAGAATAGCAGCTACAATCGTGCACAAATTGTTATGATTTAATTTCTTCGCGCGAAGCTTTGAGATAATGTGAAACCCTCTTTGTTTTGTTTTTCAGATGATGTTTTTCTACCGAAAGATAATTCCAAAGTAAGTAAACTTACGCATTCAAAGCTACTCTGTCGAAATCATCGTCTTCACTTCTTTGTGGATACCGAAATAAACTCGCTATAGCTCTGATCTGTTTAGAATATGTCTCGTGGCTTAGTTCTTGTATTAAATTAAATATCTAATACAGAGTTCGGGGATTGTTTTCCATGAATAACCAAATGTGAAATAACGTCTTTCTTTAACTTAACTCTCGTTATTTCTTGTTCATTTCTTGGCGTAACGCGCTCTGGCGTTGATAGAACAGACTTAGTCGTAGAAATAGACATCGTGGTTGGCTAAGCGCGCAAAGCATTACCGCGAGACTCGTGCTAATTCAAATAACCGTTAATGTAGCTCACGCGTGCAAATGCTTTGTGTGATTTTTTAGAACGGTCATGACGGCGAAGTAGATGAAGCCGAACGCGAAATCGAGGAATTTAAACGGTTTGGCAATCATTTTGTTTCCCATGTGTCCTCGTATGTTCCCTTATGTTCATATGAGAATGCGTTCTTATTTCGATATTTTGGTTTCTTTACTAAGGTTTTGTGCTAATGTTGCTCCTGTGACCAGAAAATTGAAGTTGCCAGCGAATCTCAACTTGAAAAATCTTAACCTATCCTTGAAGAAGAGCTAACGCAGTCGACAAACAAATCACTCTTTAATAAATGTTTTCAAAAGCACGTTTTTTACTGTTACTGCTATCGTTGTGTTTCTTGTCGTTGGAACCGTTGATAAACGAATTTTATCATGTGCTCGTAAAAATTTCATTCGCTCAAAATAACTTCCAAAACTTTCTAGCTCACCAGTCTAGAGGTCATAGTCCTTGCAATAGTTGCTTCCTGGTTCCACACACCCTCCTACCACCCCTCCTTCCTCTACCCTTCCTCCCCCACCCTCCTTCCCCTACCCACCCTCCTACCTTCCCTTACCCTTCCTCCCCTACCTCTTCCTTCCTAATTTCCCCTGTCCTCACCCCATTCTCCACTCCTCCCCACCCCCTTTTCCCCCTATCGACAAACGTAGAAGTCAAATCCCACTTACCAAGTATGCTTATGACTACGAAAAGAGAGTGCTTTTTGAGAAACCATTATTGACTTCGCATTTTTGCGAAGTAAATCATGTTTGAAAACACCTGCCTTGTGTTTGTTTTTTGTTCGATTTGCAAACATACATGGAAAATTACTTTTTTGGGCAACAGACTTTACTTGACCAGAATAGTACATTTCCGAAAATTTTTCATTGCTGTGAAAGTAACTTTTCGCTTTTTGAATTTACCACGATGTCTCGATGCAAATCTTCTCTTCGATACTTCATTGCAACCCTCGTGTATAAGCATATTGACTTTGTCGAATTTTTCTTGCCGACCACGACAGTTCAACGGCATCAAATTTCATAAAAATATACAGACCATAATATCCTATAACCAAAACTAAACGAGAACTCATTAAACATGTTCAAAAAAGGTAAATTATTGACGACGACAATATTTTCATTTTGTCTTTTGACCGCAATTTATCTTTACCGTAAAGGAGCGAACACATTGAACGCGGATGAAGCTAACATTGAACGATACTCTGACAGACATACGTGAGTATTCCCTTACTTATTCTCTTAAATCAATGAATGTTATGGCTATTAAAAGAAGTCTTCTGCCGTCGTTTTTGCCAGCTTGTAGTGTTACTGTGCGCCAAGTTATTACTGCATCGTTTTATAGAAATAAAAATCAGTCTCATTGCGTGTTAGCATTTTAATATTGAATACTAATTGTATTTATAGTTGTCTGATTAAACATGATGTTCTTGCATTGTTAAGTTGTGCTGTTCGCGTCTTTGCCATCTTTGATGAAGATAAATGACTGCTCCAGTAGCAGAAGGCGCCGGAAGTTGTTTATCACCAACGACAGGTTTTTTTAAAGCAATATCTCTGGATTGGGACAAAGTTAATGAATTTCAATCAATTGCGCAAGTACAGATAACGAAATTAGATAGCTGAGCTATTTAGTCCCATAGTCATTTTCCCTGCCTTTAAATAGATTGAAAAATCGAAAACTAACTTTACTGTGAGTTAAAACAGAACGTTCTTCAATGGTCTTAGATCTTTCTAAACTCGATAAATGGTCAGCGCATTCGCCATTTTGAATTAGCTCCAATTCCCACTTCCAGGTATACACACTGATAAAGTGGAACTGTTTTTTTAGGACGCAAATACCAGACGAATCTATTGACACATTGATAAATTCACCGACAAAAATATATTCAGTGATTGAGTTTGAAGATGAAGAAGCATCCTCCGACGAAGGACAGAACAACTTTTCGAGCACGGAGAGTGTGAGCACAATGGAGAAAGAGATATGGAAAAGCGCGGGAGATTTCAAAGAAAATGGCAGCACTCCGGCCTGCAAGATACCCATCTTAGATCCTTTTCATCCCCACGTGTCCAGTCTGCAGAATGACGTGGGCACAAACCTGAGGGAGATATGTCGCTCGATGTATTCTCACGCTCCTATATTTCGCGTGGAAAACAACAAACTTGTCTTGAAAGATGATTTTAAAAAAGATTTTGCCTTAGGCGTTGACTTCAAATCAATCAAACTGCGAGGTATCGAGAGATTGAACGATGACGACTTTAAATATTTGACAAAGAGCAACCCGTTTGGTGGGCTGTCAAATCTGAATAAAAGCAACGACATTGGGCATACGGACTTCTTCCGAGTCGATTACACAATCAACAAAAGGCGAGCTTCAGATTTGTACGCCCGCGTTTCTCTCAAGTCCAACGTCAGAAAAAAACAAGACCGGTTGGCAAAGAAGTTTGAAGGCAAAGGACTAAACTCAAATGTGCTTATTATTGGTATCGACTCTACGTCAAGAGCAAACTTTGTGCGTAAACTTCCACGAGTGAAGTCCTTTTTAGAGACGAGAATGCACACCTATTTTATGAAAGGAATGTCGATTGTAGGTGATGCTACAACGCCTGTACTCACTGCTATGCTTACAGGAAAGGATGTTTCAATGTTACCGGAAGGACGGGCATCTCATAAAGGGTACGAATTGATAAAGTATTGTTCGTCGGCCAAAATGCACGGTGTCTTAATGAAACAGTTCTTTTCGCAACTTTCTGAATAGTGTTCTAATTCTAAAACAGTTCGCTTAAAAACTATACTGGGTTTCTTTTGGGTTTCTTTCTGGTTTCAGAACTTTTGGGAACTTTATGATTTTTGGCCATTCACCGTGGAAATTGCGCTTTTCAAGGAAACATTCACATTTGTCAACACGACAATGTCTCTGTTCCATCATCTTTTCAGACGTGTGCATGTAGGAAGGAAGACCCGCACCTTTTTAGCTTGAGCGCAGAATGCTACCTTACAGTAAGTCATCTCCAGGAAGGTTTGTCTTAGAGCTATAAGCATCGGCTCATCATTTAGTCACTTAGGAAACAGAGATGATTGCCTGCTTAAATGTATTGAAAATGTACTACAGAAGATACTAATAAAAAATTATCAAGGAGAGCAATTGACTTTTCATTCAAAAAATCCCCTAAGATTACCTTATTCAGGGCCGTAGAAAAGAAGTAATTTTCAAGGGGGCACAACCCTCCATCACAGGTGGTAGAGGGTAACTGTTTTACATGGCAAATGTAACAAAAAAGTCACAACTTTTGCAACTGTAGTATACATAGATGTATATATACAAAATGTATATACAATGTGCCCTCCCGGCTATCACCACAGTGCAATGGTGACTCCTGCACTTGGGACACAGGATGTACGGTTGTACATCCTGTACATGTATGTATATAGTTATATATGTGAAACTGTATCAATCAATGTAACAGCTCGATATAATATTACAAGTTTTTTACTTAGAACTACCAAGTACTTGTAATAATATAACCAGGACGAATTATTGGAGGGGGGGCTACTTTTCTGTAGGGAATGCTTCCCCCCTGCTCCCAGTTTCTAAGCCAATGTTCGAATAGTATTCTGAGGCTTAAGACAGCATTCATTCTATACCGATTACACTATTTTTATTAACGTTCGATTTTCTTAGAAAGCCCATCGACAACTGGCCATGGATTATGCAAAAATACGAACGCCAAGGCTACATGACACTATACGGGGAAGATGACCCGAGTGTGAGTGCGTTCAACTTAAGATTAAGAGGATTTAAACGCAGTCCGACACATCACTACATGCGGCCATTTTGGCTATCACTTGAGAGGGAGAACGAGCGAGATGCACAGGGACGGTGTTCGAAATCTGAATCGATGGTAAACCACACTCTCAAATATTTGAAGAGCTTTTTTGACGCCTATCCTAAACCAACCAAAAAATTTGCGTTCGCCTTTTTATCCTATTTGACGCATGCGTATCCTAACCACTTGAGCCTGGCCGAAGAAGATCTTTTGTGGTTTCTCGGGACATTTGTGGACAAAGGGTATTTCAATGATACCATCTTGATCGTCATGGGTGATCATGGATCGAGAAACTGGGAATATCGCGATACAATGCAGGGAAAATTGGAAGAACGCTTACCGTGGTTTTCTATCTCAATACCGGCCTATATACACCGAAATTATCCTAAACTCACGGAAAACCTGCGACAAAATCAAGATATCATATCTTCATTTTTTGATGTACACGCAACATTACGTCATATACTGACCTATCCCAGACTGCCAAGTGGCGAAAGAACGCAAAGCCTGTTTGAGAGGTTGCGTCGTAACAGAACTTGCTATGATGCAGGTAAATCTTTTTCGATCGTTTTTTTCGTAATATTTTTTGCCCTATTTAACGTAGCAAATAATAAACGAGAGATGTGCATGCACGAAGCAGTGACGTAGCCAGAGGGGAGCCTGGGGAGCAAGACTCCCGTGACAAAATTCTTGCCCCCCTAAAATGTTATATATTACATTGTTTAAATTACTGTTATGCCGTCCCCTTTTCTTCTGAATGCCTCCCCCTGACAGAAAATCCTGGCTACGCCACTGGCAAGAAGAGTTTGTCTAACATCTACTTTTCAGTTCAAATCGACCAGCAGATAACTTCAGAAATAAAAAAATGAAACGAATTTCGAAAATAGACAGTTCTTTGATATTGAACATAAGAAACAAATGTTCTGAGACAGAGTAGGTGATATTTTGTCTTTATTTCAAAGACATCATCAGACCAATCAAATTACAAGCAACCTTCGAAATATTTACATGGCAAATTAGTATAAAACCATGACCAGCCGACAATTTAAAAAAGTATAATATAGAACAAATTCCGAAGAAGTTAGCAAATTAGTACTTACAAGTCTTGCAAATTAGTATTTACATTGTCTTTGAAATAAAGACGAAATGTTACATTCTCTGTCTCATAACTCTTGTTTTGTTATCTTGAACATCAAGAAAAGTGGAAAACGAAATTTCTATGTTTGGAATTTGTTTTGTATGGAGTTTAAAGGGCATAATCCTTTTTAATCTTCTGAAATGAAAGTCTATGTTTTTCAAACATAGATTCTGATTATTTAAATACAATCAACTTTCCATCGCTTTTGACTTGCGACGTAGCCAGTCTGCCCGTTTGGTCGTGCTATTTCAATTCAAGGTCATTGATCATTTTCTTAGAAATCTATTGCTTCAACAGTAAATGGACACCAAAATATTTAAATAGCACGCCCAAGATTCTCACTGTTTTTGACGTTTGATAAAACTCGCTGTGAGATAATTTCCTTATCTACAGCTAAAATTTTTAAATAACATTGCGATTGTTATTCCTAGGAATGGATTCGGAATGATTTTGTCAGGGGGGAGGGGGTCTCTAGTTTTTATAAGCTGTCAGTCAGTTGGTCAGTCTAGTTTGGATTTTATGGCCGGGACTTGTTTGAAGGTGTTTCATGGGGTTCTAGCCAAGGAAAGGGGAGTATGCACACCTACACACCCCTCTCCTAAATCCATCCCTGGTGATTCCTCTGTCAGTTTAGTATTTCTTTTAGGAATTGCTGAACATTGGTGCCCCTGCCTGCAATGGTCATCGACGACAGTGCACTCTAAGCCCGTGCAACATATCGCGCGGTCAGCGGTTACCATGATAAATCGTAAACTTACCGAAAACTCAAAGCTAAATAGCTCTTGTCATCAGCTTACTTTACAGAGTGTCGAGGATGCTTTAATACTGAGAGCAAATCCTAAAGTTCAAACATTTGAGTCTACGGACCAAGATGGTGATGACGAAGTGAGTTACGGCGAAGCGACGAAAGATTTGCTGCGGTATCAAATTATTTTTACAACCTTGCCCAATCATGCAAAATACGAGGTGACGGCTCACTTCATTCCCGCAAGAAATCATGCAAAAATTAATCCAGAAATCAGCAGACTTAATCGTTATGATAATCAACCATCTTGTATTGCAAAATTATACCCTTACGCCAGGATGTTTTGCTTATGTAAGAACAACGTCAAAGAAAAATGACAGAGTTGGTCTCAAGTCGACGGGTGTATAAGAACTAGCTAGGTTCAATACAAAATTTTGATCTAGTGTCTATAAGGACAGGTTGTAGAACTATAAGGGATCACGTTATTCATTGGCCTAATGATGATGAGTAAGTTCAACATCTGTACCGCAGAGCGTACCAGCTTTTTAGTTATACACCTCGTGATCTCGTAATGCACTTTGCTCGACATGGATGGCGGTACATTTTAAAATTTAGTTTCCAATAATTTTTTTATATTCATGCTTTTGAACGGTTGAAATTACATCAAATGGGTTGAAATTTACTTTATTCAAAAACTTTACGTGTTCGCAGAAACGGCTGGATTATCGTTGCCAGAGAAATTCAAGGTAAACATTGTGAAAGATAGTCGTAGAATCGTACAAGCTTGGACTTTTCGATACTTTGATATTTTACCTGGATTTTAGTGGTGGCTAGAACCTTTTTTAGTTAGAGAAATCAACCACAGATACAACTTGAAATTATTTATTAATTTAAATCATCAGGAAGCATATTTTTTCTGTTTCTGAGTATCTCGTTAGCGGTCGAAGTTTGACAGCCATATTTGCTATAGAACACCACAGCCTTGCGGTGGATATATCGTCACGACTCCCGCTGTGTGAATTTACGGATTATGATTACCATCAAAAAACAAGAAAATATTTTCGAATGAGTAAATGTTGACCTGCATCCTGCTTTTTTCTTTTCCATTTAAGAAATAAACTTGATTTTATCTTGTATAAATTTGATGAACCATCTTTGTCTTCATAATACAACATTTCAAAATGAAATTCAAAAGCTGTTCAAAACTCTGAACATTTCAAGTGAAATATATTTATTTTTGATAATTTGCTACAATATCAGTGCAGTATGTACAATTTATTTTTAAAGTATGTATAATTGAGTTTTTACAAAAGTTGAATCTATATTGCATAAAGTTCTTGGCAACTAAAATCCACTATAACTTTTTTATAAATACATAATGTATGAAATATGATTATTTAAACATCAGGTCTAGTTTTACAATATTTTTGCAATTTGCTGTGTTTTTTATGATCCTTTGAACCAGGGATCGCGAAACCTGTTTTTAAGTGGCGGGGCAGAATAGCACACATTAAAATCTCATTATTCACCCTCGCCAACAATTACCATTTGGTTGCCCTGTCATAAAGGCAACCTTTGAGGATGCTCGTGATGTAATGATGAATAATCTAACTGGAGAGTTACATTTTGACACAATCTATAAAACAATTTGTACATGTGTGCAAGCTTTCAGGAATTAATGCTCAAAATTAAGGTCATCAATTGTCAGCCTAGTTTAAGAAATATTCGAGGAAAAAATTTTTACCTTATTTTGTAACAATTCAATTTTAAACAATGTATGTTATGATTCTTATGTTTCTCCCTCTTCATTAAAAGAAGGAGGAAGGACAAATATGGTTTTAACTATTTGGAATATGATTTACATATGACACAGCCAGCTCAACAACGATATCAATTAAATGCCGTTTTTCTATTAAATGTTGCATAAATTGCATTGCAGTGTATATATTGCAGTGTTAATATAACAGTAATGTTGGCTTAGTAATAATATTGTGGTAATGGTAATGCAATTGGTATTGCAGCCATGGTATTGTGGTAATGGTAATACAGTTGGTGTTGCACCCATGGTATTTTGGTAATGGTAATACAGTTGGTGTTGCACAATGGTATTGTGGTAATGGTAATACAGTTTGGTATTGCAGCCATGGTATTTTGGTAATGGTAATACTGTTGCAATTTCAGCAATGGTCTTACTTCAATGGTGTTTTAGTAATGGTATAACAGTTGGTATTGTGTTAATGGTGTTGTCATAATTGCATTACAGTTCCATAATGGTGTTTGGGCAATGGTATTTCAGGAATGGTGTCGTAGAAAAGATCTTAAATTCACTGCAATAGTATTTATGTATTGAAAAGTTTCAACATCTTGTTGTCAAGCTTGCTGTGCAGTGTATGGGAAATCCCTGTAAACTTTGGTAAAGGCGTTGATTACTGCTGCCCATTTCGTTGTTCATTTAGAGTCACGTGATTGCTTATCACGTGATTGCCTAGGTAGGACAGATGGAGAAAGTCATTTTTGTTACCAGTACGTGTTAACTGTGGCCATTCGCTTATTGTGAATGCGCTGACATACTCTCTTGTATTTCATTCGACGATTTTGATACCAGACTTTGATTTGTTTTTCCGTGAGACCCAGTTCGCTCGCGAGATGCATGCGTTTCATTCCGACTGCGTATTTATCTTTCTGAAACTCCTGTTCAAGTCTTTCGAGTTGACAGGTCGTGAAAGATGTTCGAAATCTTTTCTGTCTTTCACTCAATAGTCGTTCTGCAAATATGTAAATAGATGCTTGTGTAAGTTGGGATCTCAGATGATTCCCAAGATTTGCCCATGATTGCCCAAGATTTATTAAATGTTTCTGATACTGATACACCCCGTCAAGTAGACTGTGTAAACAATAAAACTTTCCTCACTAGCTGTCATAAATAAATGCATGTTAAGGTTTGAATCTCGGGCAGATGTATCATCCAGTCGAAGATTTATTGAATGTTTCTGATAATCCCCCCTCCCCCCGTCAAGTAGAGTGTGTAGACAATAAAACTTTCCTCAATAACAGTCATAAAAAAACATGTAAAGGTTAGGATATCAACCAGATGTATCATCCAGCCAAAGATTCTTTAAATGTTTCCGATATCCCCCCTTGCTGAGTTTTTCCTCAATAACAGCTCATCGAAAAGTTTTTGGATCGTAAAGATTACACATATACACCAGAATGAATGTTCAAAGCATTGAGGTACAAATTTGCAAGTGAGATTTATTTACAGGCCAGGACCATTGATGGCTCTACAACTGAACGCTACTGAACTACAGCGCGCTACGTGACTGAAAATCTGTCGTTGTGTGGGATTCATACACCTGATTTGAATATTCCCTTAGGCACCAACATTCATTCTATGATAGTAAATTATCTTATCATGTTTCTCGTTACTATCTCATATTGTAGCTATTCTAATGTTTCGCGATACAATTCATTTGAATACCAGTTGACGATGGTGTTTATCCCTAATGTCGTTCCTTTTTTCTTCAGTAATTCAAATTATCCACAATAGTTCACTATATCTATTGAGTTGTGCAAATTTTTCTTGCTTAAATTGTGTACAGAAACTCTGCATTCATTTCCTGCCTAAGAACAAACACTACTTGTCAGATTGATGGTTTAGGCAATGTATCCCATAATTTTTTAAAACCTGTCTTCAAAGCAAAGCAAATATTTTTGTATTCATTTACTAGAAAAACAATTTATGGAAAATTTTTCTTATGGTAGTTTTGCCGAAAATTTTGCATTGCAGAAGTAAAATATCGTCCTGGCTTCGCCATTGCCTGTATGTTTTGCGTTAGGTTCAATGAAGTCTCAACGCGCATGTCTTTTTTGGAAACATGATGGTAAAGTGCTTCTTGTCAAGTTGATGGTGATCCAACTGCGATTTCTTAAAAAAAATTGAGCGTGGTTTCTTTATAACCGTTCCTTATTTTATGTTGAGCATGTTTACATTCCGACGTAAAGAGGAAAACAGCTTGCAGTGTTTGCTTCGATGGTTTAAGGTCAATTTTGCGTTCATGTTTTGACTTTGAACTAGGAAGCTTGAAGCGGAATATATGTTTACCGACTGCGTTTTCCGGTGAAAAATGGACAAGCTAAAGGCCGTACCTTGACACGACAATTAAAGTATCAATTACTAACTTCAACTTGATGCGTCCGCTAATGTGTCGCTGTGTAAACATGTCCTAAATGGTCGTAAAAACTGTAGTTGTTGTAAGATAGGAAGCGAGAACGCGTAACAACATTATTAGTTGAAAATAATTAGCGTGCTCGAACGCCTCGAGTGTTAACCCTGTTTGCGAAAAGTTAAGACATGTTGAATGAACAAATGTCGCACGGAGTGTCATGAGATTTGATTTTAACATAAAGACCGTTGCGTGCTAATGACGACTCAAGGTCATCGAATTGCCCTTTTTATTTTTCTAAGTTAGCAAATGTCATCAGATTTATTGTTATTGTTGTATTTGCTGGCCATTTCATTGAAAGGAAATCGCGATGTGTGTTTGCGTGCGTTGTAAATAGTGCTAATGGAGCTGTTAATTTCACCTGGACTCGCTTAATCTTTCGTGCAAGGCATTGTATTTGCCTATTTAGATGGTTCTTTAGGCTAGTTAAGCAACTTTATCGTAATTAATCTCAAGTAGATCGCTCAACCTTTGGTGGTAAAATTTGCATTTTTCGACTGTCGTAAAATCTTAATCAGATTTTTTTTTTTTAGGTAACAACTTTCGAGAAAGGAACGTGATTGATGTACCAACTTGCAGATAACCGTAAGTTTCCTCTTCAACGTTGTAGTTAAAGATGATGGAAACGATAATGTTTGTAATCGTGATTTGATATTTGCCACACACGTTCAATACTCGAAGCATTTGTCGTAGTAGGCTTGCACAATTTTTCGTCAAAACAGTGTGACAAAAATTGACCACTTTCAATAAGTATGCGCTTGTGCCAAAGCAAGTGACATGTTAACATTTCCCAATAATGCTTTACCCCGAAGCGAAATTTAAAACGACTCTAGCCAGTTTGATGTTTGTAAACTTGAGTAAAGAAGAGCGACGCCACACACAATGTAGCATTGTTTTTACATTTCGATGTGGAAGTTTGTTTTTATGGCATAATAGTGATGAAAACGAAAAGATATTTTATGCTTTATTTGTCGGTATTCGAGGACATTGCTCCATGGGAAGGCTTTTCTTTACGCAAACAAAAAACGCGCTTGTATGCAATAAGTGGCTTGAGCAACGTCTACGTAATTTTGTGGGCAAAAATTGCAGAATCAAATGTTTGATTCTGCGAAAATATAGCTACTGGCAGTTGTGTATCCAGCAACAGGCTAAATCAATTGCAACAAAAACTGGCGCTAACACTGGATTCTCTACTCTATACAAGTCTATATTCCTTCGCTCTAGTTTACACTGTGCACACCTTCACTCTTCACTCTTCATAGTAAATGTTATATTCGAACATTTTGCCGAAACCATTAAACTCTTTTACAGTCAGTAATCGATAAAAACTCCAACGCTCTTCTTTCCGACTTTATTTGCGTTTTCCAGTCATCTTGGCCGCTTTTATTACAAATCAAAATAACAAGAACGCTTGTAGCTCGTGCAATCCATTCAATCCTTTTCCTATAGACTTTGCCTTTCCGCAGATATGATCGAAACTTCCACATGTTTTCAAATTGAAAGCGCGTGTGATTGCAATTTTCTAACGCGATCTTTATTTTGCTAGAGATTTCCGTATACTTCACGAAAGAAAGATATGACGGTCATATTAAACCTTAAAAGAATAAATTTGCTTATCTTTCCTACTTCAATAAGAGTCAAAACCCTACATTATAGTTTGATTTTTTCAATCTATGCCAAGGCAAACGAGTGCAGCGTCGAAATTTTGCTCGCGTGATTGGGAACCACAGCAAAGTGTGATTATAGAAATGAGATTAAGGCGTTAGGCAGCGATTATCCCATCTATTTATAAATAACCCGTTAAGAATAACACTTAAACCTAAAGTGGTAGTTAAGACTAAAACAAGCGCACTTTATACGGACAACTTAACGTACAACGACAGCTTATGTAATGGCGTCGTTATTTTCATCATTTAGTTGTTTATGTTGCGTTTCAAGTTTGAATTTATCGCCGTGCAGCTATTGCGTTGTGTGTAGCGACCATTGTCGAGATCAATAAGCTGCTGGGATTTGGGCTTTGCGTGATTCAACCTGTAATCATATGGAAGAACGTTCTGTCCTCAATAACCTCGGGGAATGTTTGGAATACAATGAATTTTTTACAATTTCACTTCTACGTAAGTAAGATTAGTGTGGGATTCTACTGTCGAAGAAGCTGACATTTGTCTATGCCGTATCTGGTTTGTTTTTCTTTTCTAAGAATTCATCGTTGTAAAAGTAAAACACTTGCGAGGATTTTTTCATTCTGCGTGCGACATTCTCTGTATACTTGGTCGCTCGACCTTTACAACATTTTTACCATTTTCCAAGCATTTTCAACACGCATGCGTGTTGCTGCATTGTAAAATCATTTTGTATTTTTAGCAGTTTACGCGAATTTGGAAATGGCGAGAACGCTTTCGGGTTGGCAAGATTTAGGATGTGTGGACTTCGTAGCAAAGCTTCCTCTAGTGGGACCGATCGAAGGCGGTCATTTATAGATTAGTTTCTATTCGACTACGTTTCGTGAAAAACAATGAATTTCTAGTTTCAGAAAGTTGAATAATTTCTAAGTGTACCTTTACGGTTGAGTTGGATTTCTTGTATCGTTGGGGTCGTGTGGTAGTCGTGCGGATCGTGTCTCAGCGGAACCGTGCAATACCAACTGAGCATTTTCTCCTGACTTATTTGTGGTAAGTCTCTTACGTTGACTGGATATGTGGTAGATACCGAATCGCTGATGTTGTTGTACTTGTTTGACTCGAATACATGGTCGCTTTGTTGGCGCCATTGAAAATAGCTGGTGTTTTCATCCAGATTCTGCTCCCCGTTGTATTCGATTGCTTGTTTGACGCAGTTGTTGTCAATGCTGTTCTTGTACTCGCTGTAATACGAATATATAGACATCATATTAGCATAAAATGCGCTCGCGTCTCCCTCTTTGGTAAGAATACTTGTCATCCGTAGTGGAGAATCATTTGTAAATACACCTAACCTCGAGAATCTTTCACGTATTTATATCGTATTGAGGATAAGTCATTGACGTAATGCACAGCGTGCGGTCTCAGTGATTTGAGGCATGCGCGCAGCCGCGCTAGGAATTGTGGTCAGGTTCCCAAACAAGTTTTTCGCTTGATTGGCAATTATTTCGATTCGAGTCGATTGCACGAATGTAGCGGACGAAAGATCTAGTAGAAATGCTGTAGTGTTGGTGTCTTTTTCGTTTCAGTTTAAGTTTGGAATATATATCATCGAGATTTATGACAATATGTTCACGGTGTTGTGAGAGGAAGTCGTGATCCTTGAGAATCACCCAAACATGCACTAAAACGCACCTTCTTTACTCTGTTCTCCGCAAAACTTGCCTTCCGTTTACACTTGAGGTAACACGATTTCTTATGCATCGTGATGTGAAAAAATAATTCCGAATACTAACGATAGAACGAACGCTGGGAGCCTATGAACATCTCATGTCCAGGAATTTCGCTTTCATAGTGTTTTCAATTGATTTCGTTGATATATCGTTGATATGTTCGGTTTATTGTTGCATTGAAAAGTTTGCCTTAAGACAAATTCCATTGAACATTCCACCTTATCGACGCATCGAAAGTCCTTGAAAAATTCTTCGTTAGATTCCAATACCTGAATTATCCGAACAAAAGTCAAACGCTTCATATGTTGATTTCGAGCGGCGAGCGCGCGGTCAGTTGAGCTCAGTTCCAATGAAAACAGAAGATTTTGGTAAAATGCCAGAAATTTTTCGGGGTCACGCAATCGGACAATGCGTACAGATTGAAATATGTCGATTTTAGAAAACCTGTGAAGAATTCTCATTACCTGCGAATCATATGTGCCACATGCGTGCGCAGCGGTTTCTCACACGGTATTTTGCGTACTAGTCATTCTCCGCGTTCATGTTTTTAGAAATACAAATCATCAATCGATCAAATACTTCGGAATTGTAATCATTCCCTGTGTATCTGATCGTTGGGCGATTTTTTTCAACTCGTATTTCAAAGGAACGTATTAGAGTATGTTAAACTGTCCGTTTTTAGTAATGTAAACATTAAGCAACTTCTGTGGATATACTAAACTTGCCCTTCCCAGTGCAGGAAATGAATGACTAACTGCATGCTTTAACGTGTGTTCTCATTACTAATACTGCAAGAGCACTGAACTATATACGTGCGAAGTGCGAAGTTCAGTAGCCGAGAGATGCTTGTAGTTGTAGTTTTCATGTTTTTTCTTTTGAACTTCATTAGTATTAAAACAGGATGTGAATTAGTCAACGAAACAGTACACAATTTATGAGATAATATGGTTAATTATAGTTACGTTTCGTCGTTCAATAGAAGGTTCTTAAGAAGAATTAGAATTAATTAGAAAACAAAAAGTAGTCTAAATCAGTATTTTATGATGGCGTTTTTTGTCTTTGAAGTTCCCGTAGAGATTTTTGCGTAGCGTTCTCTTTCTTCTGTCGTATGAAGTGCTTTTGTTTCATAGGAGCACTGGGCAAAGATCTCGCTACGTTTGTTTTTTCAAATGTTTGTTTTTGCTTCACGATTTAGTTGTTAAAAACCTTCTGAATCCGTTTTGTATTAGAAAGAGAGGTAATCTAATTACTTTTGGCGTCTTGTTATCGGCGCCTTCGATCACGAAATGTTTTTTTTCACTCGTTTCTTCGTAAGGATATATTCCCGGCCCAAGAACACGAGGAACGGAGTTTTTCTTCTTTAAACACGCGGGCTTACTTCTTTGAACATTGAACTTTTTGAAGATTTTATTTTTCTTTCGAAGATCAAAACTTCCCATCTGGAATTTTGTTGATTACTCAAACTGTCTGTGATTAAATGCGCGTGACAGCTGTAATTTACTTTGAAACAGTAAGGCTTATAAATTATTTATTCTCGACTGCGATAATTTAGCAAGATAAAAGATTATTAGCGTTGTTTTTTGATAAAAAAACAAGACTTAAAACTGAACGATAACATTTTCTAGATGCTCAAATCGTGTTCTCGAAAGACGCTTTTCTCCGAATGATGTTTTGTCAAAGCCTTGTTCGCGGCTTACAAAGTGCGACAGTGAAAAACCGTCTCCTTAATACAATTGTACAATACTTTGTTTTATCGATGTTTTAGCTTCAATTTACAAGATTTATCGATTGACATTGTTCTGTGTTGTTATGTGTTTGTCGTGTAGCTTCAATTAATCAATCAATTAGCTTCGTTGTTTGCAACCAAAACACGCATATTCTAGGAGCGCTTAGAACCTTTAAGCTGTTATTGCATGATAGAGTTAACCCGATTGCTATAAAACGTCATAGTTTTTTTACTTGTGTAGTGCAATGCCTTTTTTAGATGTTTACTAATCATTGGAAAATTTCTCCAGAATTCATATCATACAGCTATTAGAAGCTTCCCATAATACACAGAGTGTAAGGTGAAGCTTTTTCTTTGTTATGAAAAGCTATCTATATGTTACTATTACGAAGATAATGATTTATATTTTGCTCTATAGATATACGAAACATCGCGAACAATAGAGAATGAAACAACAGGGTTTGCGTAACAAAGTTGATACTTAAGTAGAGACGAGAATCTTTTGTCTCTATCCTATTCCGAGCGTTTAGCTTATTTTCATTGCCTTGCGGTGTCTTTTAACTCACTTAAACATGATCCGATTTAGAATGGGAGTGAATCTAGTCGAATGTTCACCGAGCTTGTGTGACGTCATAGTTTGACCACACCTGCTGTAAGTTCTATCACGAGGCATTGTTTGTTAAGGTAGCTATTCACGCAATTAGTTTTCGCATAATATAATGTAATCATTTTATTATGTAATCGTGGAACTATTAGTTTTATAGGTGTTTTTTTTGTTGTAAATTTATACATGAATAGTGTTTGATAAAGCATTTTAAACCCGTCATGCAGTAGTTGTGGTGTTGGTGCGAGCAAAATTATATACTACTTTGCTGCGATTATTTGTTTCATGGTGCTCATTCCTGTCGGTCGCTTATTAGTTCTTGATGGATTCATAAAACTTGAATGTTTGATGAGTTGAAACTGCTCTAAGATTTCCAACTACTCGAAGTAAGAGCGGTTACTTCGGGAAGAGCTTGTCGGATAATTGCGCTGGCAATTTTTGTTGAATTATGTTGTAATTTCTCTTTGTTTATTCGCCTGAGTTGAATTACGCTTTTCTGCAAATGCTGGAATGTGTTGTAGCTAAGTATACGGCATTCGCTTATACATCAAAAAAATAAGTTTATTTCAAGTAAGGTTGTTATAAAAGTTGTACTTGTGCATATAGTTCACTCACTTTGTCTTTTGAAATTCCAAGCTCATTGTCGGCGGCGGAATGCTCTCTTCTTTTTGATAATTCTGACGGGAAGATATCTATGTAGAAAAAAAGTTATTCGACTTGAGATTCCTTCCCGTTTACAAGATTAGCTTTGTTGCGCAAATGTCTAATCTCTTATTGTTCTAAACAGTTAAGAGGCGTAATTTTTATCCCTGTACATGACACTGGAAGCATCACTATGGTGCATTATATAGCTAAGTAAACATATTCTTCAAAATCTTTGAGTGGAGCCTTTTGTGGGTCTTTTTTTTTTATCATTTGGGGCATTTTTAACCTCGCCGATTTAAAATACATTTATGACAAGCGTAGTATAGGATAAGTTGTCATGTTTTTTGCGATCGCGATGACATGTTCAGTTAACATTTAAAGTGATTTCAGTCAGTTTTACACTGAATTCCCAGCAACAACTGATTTAATTTTGAGCAAAATGCGCACAAAATGCAAATGCGCTTCGCGTAATGACGTTGCGTATTCGTGTTATGATAGCCTGGTTGTTTCAGAAGTGCGCACACGTAGGATTATTATTGAGCACAAGCAGTGCACTCATATATGATGAACGATGAACGCCTTAAGAACGATAACATCATGTTGCCTTGCTTGAAGGTTTGAACTAAAAACAATTATACGTCAATTATACCGTGTGTGTATTGATTACTTAGAAAATAATAGTTTTAAGGTTTTCGCGAGAGATGTTCATTGGCGTTCTCATCAGATGCGTGAAGCGTTCAATGCTTCTTACTGTATATCATTTACATTAGGGGTTTACATACACAAGCAAACCTTTTTTACAGTACTTGTAGATTGATTAATTGAAGCTACACGACAAACACGTACAAACCTTTTCAATGTCACAACACGCGCTTTGAAGAAATGTTTTATTGGCGATCGCACTCATTCACTGGCAGGCGACAAAACCATCAACAGCACATGTATATACTGTATATATATATACAAGCGATGAAATCTCGATACACTTTTGCACATTAACACTGTTAGCACAACTTCTAGTGGTCAATAAATAGTCGAGTTGATGACCCTTTTCGCAATCTATCAATGACCTTGTAACTTGTTACGACTACACAGAATGAAACGGCGTATATGTTTGTTGGGGGTGCTTCATATGCTGTGAAGATTGATACGACATGAGAAGATAAGCATAAATGGGACATATATACCAATATGCGGCATAGATTAAAATAAACTCACCTATTTTCCGCCTATCGATTCTTCACGGTCTTCGTTTCGAGTTGATACTGGAAATTGAATTGTTCGTAACAGTTATGTAATATCACTGTACGTATTTTTACCAGAAGTATGATAAAGATTGAAGGTTTATCGTCTTGTATTCGCGTTTTTAGCTCATCCACTGAACGTTTAAAAGTGAAAGCGAATAGAGTTAGAACCGAAATCAACGTCTTCATTTGATGTTTAACCACGCACTTACGGCCGCGATTGACGCAATTAAAACCCAAAATCCCACAATCCCCCCGGGCGATATGCATGCACCACATTAAAGACTTCCTCATATATCAGTCATATGTGCGCCAGCAAATTTGCAATTATCTCAAACACCACGCTCTTTCTGTCTCGAAGTTTTCATGTACAGCCTACTTTCTGGAAACAGCTCGAACCATTTGATTTAATAGGCAATGGTATTATAGAACAAGCGTGAGTTTTTTCTGATACTTCATGTATTTTTTTATTTGGAAGGCAACCTTGACATTGTTTGCGACTTTCCGTTACGTGTAATCCTTGTTTTTCATTTCGATGATTTTTCCTGATTGAGCATAAAGTTTTACTGACTTTTCATAAATGTGTAATCACAACACTTTCAGATAACTGTATAAGAGGGCAAAATCCACAAAATGATGCAGCGAACTGACTTATTGTTTTAGAAGTTCTACAACACTTTTCCTTTTCACTAACTAAGACGTTGTCGCAAAAAATCGTGACAGGCAGAGAAATTAGCTATCCTGAGAGCTATGTTGTGCTTATAGGTTAATTAAGTTTCAAAAGGTTTTTAAATCTTTCTTTCTCAAATCTAGAACTAATCATGCGTGTCGGTATAGGGCGTGATTACCTTTTGACCTTGGCTTCCTTGTAACTGAAATAGGCAGAAGAGCACCTTCAATTGGTCAATACGTATTTACTTAGTCTAGCTACGTGTTTGTGGTATGAGATAGCGCGAAATGTTAACCCTCCTTTTAAGAATTCTTTTGAGCTGACAGTTATGCATGCTATACAGTCATCATCTTATATGCCCAAACAAATATAGCTACGCTTCCGAACTAAAAATAGTCACACAGAAAGAAACCTAAACAATGCCACCCTACTGGGATAAATCGCACTGCTTAAATGCTTCATCTGTTGACACCTGCGTATGTGTTCATCTTTGGGTCAAGTTGAACGTTCTCTTCGTCGGACGTAAATGATTCAAGTGGCTCTCGAGCAAATTTAATGGAAATTTGGAGTGCGCAAAGTATTACATATATGGCAACCATCATCTTTTTCGGTTATCCTTGTAGCTGTTAAAAAAGTTTCCAGCCGACATTAAAGAATTAACATTTTGCAAACAGCATCATACATTGAATTTGTGATTCGAGTTAGCTATATTAACAAGAAACAAGACTTAAAAGTAGTATTTCATTTTACTTGGCTTGATAACGAATTTGAAACAAATTGTCGACAGATTGTTTATTTTTCTTGTATCTCGTTAATATAACTAGAATCTAGAGTTTACAAAATGATATTTTTTGGAGTGTGTTTTCTATTATACTTCTATAGCTATTCAGCTTGTTATTTTTTGCAAGATAGATTCATCAGCAATTTCCGCCACATGTTTCAAACTTTAATTGATTGCTTTGTCGTAAAGCAAGTTAGCTTTGCTTTTGGGGCAATTACGTGAACTGTGAGTTTTGATAGCAAAGGCGTTTGGCACAACGACAGAATCTTTAAAGAAATGTGCCTACTTTAACACGTAGTTCCTTGGCCTTGAGCAATTTGACGCCTGATGTCTGGGAAGTTTTCGTTCACATGCGCACGCCTTGCGTATAATTTCAAGTTTTCAAGTTTTGTTGACGGACAAAAACAAACAACATATTTCACGAGAAATATACGTCGAACATTAAGAATAAGAGAACTTCTTTATCCCTACCAATTCAATTCAAGCGAGTAAGATAGTTTCTATAACGCAAGAATGAATGTTCCAGGCGTGGCATTTTTTTGTGCTTTGATAGAAGCTCTTGAACTCAAAAAATCTATGTGAGTTTATACATGAGTCTTATTGTTGACATTCGAGATGTTAGAACCGGTAATAGATATTTTCTTGTGTTAGAAACCTGACGTGTCCTAACTCTCCCACGGTTGTTTAAGACCGGGGGGGGTATTGTTAGGATGAAACTCACTTTGTCTCGCTAAAACGTGGTGTGAGAAGATAGACTTAATGGAATGTAAAAATCGAATGTTAGTTAACTATACAAGTCGTTTGCAACTAAAACGTTTACCCCTTAATTTTGAATGAAAAAAATTTCATGTGTATGTTTTATTTCTCTTGAGTATGCATTTTGACGAAAGAACTTTAAAAGGATTATAACATATTTTCTATAGATACCGATACGCGAAATAGATCTCAGATCCACTCCCAAAACAATATCTTGGCTACAGCCGAGCACACTATCACATTAAGATTTACAAGAAGCTGAAACTCGAAGCAAAAAGATGAAATCGCACGCTTGACGGAGGGTGAAACATACGCCATGATTTTAAAGTTGGCCTAATCACCGTCTCCAGGGCGGGCAAGCAATTTGAAACTTTATGATCGGTAACCTTCCTTAACCTTTCTCAAAAACAACTTGTTTTTTTGGCACACGTACAGTACAAAAACACATGTAAAACATTTACGCATGTGGTGTTAAACATGGACATACATTGAAGATTGTAATCCTCTTTCCTGCTGCTTTCAATGGTTTTTAAATAAACACCCTTTACCCTGTTTTTGTGTGCGTCTCTTTCTGCTTGTAGCATCATAAATTTTTTTCAATTTTACTTAAACTTTTGTTCGAATGCCGGAATGCATGCGGACTTCTAGGGACTGTATCTATGTATATTATTTTTGAAGTATAAGCAACACAGTCGATTATCTTTGTCTATTCCAAACATCCGCCTCCCCGCTGATTTCCATTTCCAAATTGCTTAATTGTGAACAGAATAAAGTGTAACATTTCTCATTGATGTTTCTGAATTTCGAATATTACCAAGCGTTTTTAACTTTGGAACTTCAAACTCGCACAAAAAAACAACAAAAAGTTCGTTCGCATTTCCAAGGGCAGCAAGTATCATTATGAAGATGAAGGTCGTTACAATACGGGCGTAGAACAAAGGAACCAATTCTTAATGTAATCAAAAACAAGATATCTCGTGATTTCCGTTATAGATCGTTTCATTTCAACGAAAACTACCATAGTTACTGCCATAAATGGTCTTTTGACGTAAATGTCTTAACGAATGTCAATTGTTGATGTGTTTTTTCATGTTTCGTTGACAGGAGAAGTAGTTTAATGGGGGATGTTGCCTGTTGATTCTACGACTTAGGTCTTCTAGTAAACTGCTTACAAGCTCGAGGTGCATAAAGAAATGATCTTGCATTGTTATGTGGCGTCTTAGTATATCTGTGAGATTTGATTAAGTTTCTTCTTCCCCGTCAGGGCGGCAGCTCAAATCACAATGGAATGAGAACTATGCAGGTTTTTTCAAAATTTTACTAAAAATAGTGATTCGAGTTGTTATTGTTTCGATTGCAAGAATGTGGCCGTGCAAGTTTTTTTTTCGTGGAAAATACCGCATTTATGTAAATATCGATGAGATAGGTTGGCAGAAGTCCACTATTGTGTTAACACTTAACAAAGTTTCCCCAACTTGTTGTTCGTTGTTTTGTTTGCTTTGGGATCTTAATTGCCAGTGCAATGTGTGTGCTATTGACGTTTGGTTTTTCCCAATGAATGACATGCTTTTGCATATTGTTTACTTTGGAAGTTGTGTAAATCATCTTGTTGTCATAATTATCTCACTGATTAGATTTTTGTATCCGAGATTAGGATGATTGTGACGTAGATTCATTTCAATTTGTTCAAAAATCAACACGTCCCCTTTAGAGCTCTGTACCTTCTTTGGAGCTCTGTACCTTCTTTAGAGCTCTGTACCTTCTTTGGAGCTCTGTACCTTCTTTGGAGCTCTGTACCTTCTTTGGAGCTCTGTACCTTCTTTGGAGCTCTGTACCTTCTTTGGAGCTCCAACTTGAAATACGTTGTATTTTGAAACTCACCACTCTAACCTTGGATAGTGTTAGCTTGATATCACGCATTTATCTAAGTGAATAATGCGATTTTATTTTAATAAAGAAATGGAGATTGACTTTTCTATTTGAGTTAATTCTGCATTGTGGCTTAAAAGATCGGAGATCTTCAATGAGAGATCTCTTCATTTTCACGACAAACGCTGAGGATGTTGAAACGTCAGTCAACATCAACAACAACAGTCCTTCTCGAGACTTTACAAACCTAGAAGACTTACATCTATGCAAATATGTAACAATATTCCTGGGCTCAAACCATTCACTTTTATATTTTGTCGGGGGGAAGGAGATGATTATTCATGTACACAGCTTTCCCTGAATGATTTCTTTTGAAGGTACAATCGCTTTCGAAAGAAATCAGTCGAGAAGAGCTAAATGTGCGGACACATTCAACCCCCCTTCCCAATTTGTGTTCCAGTACGGGCCCCGAGTCCGTGTCGTTTGAGTGAAAGTAATTTTGATCGTTGTTTTAACGATAGTATAAAATATATTATTAGGAGTAGTAAGTATGTTGTCGCACGTTGAGACTACTGAGTGTATTGTCGTATGATTGTATTACAGATCGACTGTGCATATCCGCGGACTTTTCATGTTGAGAGTACTAAATATACAAGTCGTTATGTAAGTGTTTCCCTTTCGTATCAAAGCTTTTATAACTTCCCTTGAATAGCTGCGTGGCTATTCATAATATTGCTTACAATCTTTAACGACCCGTAAGTATTTTCCTTATTTTTTAACCGCAATTTAAAATAGACGAATTATTAAAATGCTCATCCAATTATATTGATTGAAAGTAGCTAAATAAAGTTGTTAGTTCTTTTGAACTTCTCCCTTCGTCAGAAGACACTATCTTTTAGCTATTTATGTCTGTCTCGTTCTAGCGCAAACCCTCCATTTTGTGACGTTTTTAGCTATCTTGATCAATACCTACTCTTGTGAGATACGAGTTCAAAGTGAATATATTACGATAACTTATAAGACTATAATCTCAGATATCTTATACAGATCTTGTTTTAAAGTTGGCTTAAGCTTTTTATGTTTTAATCCGATTTCCTTAAATGGGCGTGTCCGCAGGAATTGTCGATGCATCACCAAAAGGCTTTGGAAGAAAAACCCTTCATGAACTTTTCTAAAAATGGACTGATTGGCAGTAGTCGATAGATCTCGATCACTGTCCAAAGTAAAGTATACATATGTTGCTATTTTTCGCATAAGAACCGGTTTGGCTTGTTCGTAATTTGAGCTAGCTTGTATTTTAAGTCGTCTCTGCAATGCATAAACAGGCCATTGATATTTTACAAGTATTCAAACATCGTCCAATATTTCAATTCGCCATAAATTTTTTCCATTGCTTTAGCTTCAGGCTATTTATCGTATTCTATATGATACACAGTTTTAGTTTATTGGCTAGCACGAGTACACAGGCGTGGGTCGCTTCGCCAATGTGGACATCTACATTTCGTCATTCCACGAACGAGGGACTGCTATTTTGAAGATTTTACATGATATCAGCTGGCGTGTTTTCACACTCGACATGAATATTCTTAAGATAGTGTTTACTTTACACATGTGGCATACTCTGGCCGAACTTGTATGTTTAATCCTGCTTTGTGAATGCGAGGCATTTGCACTATTGATTCATTTGAAATCCAATGTTTTTTACAGTGAGTGAACACCAAAATATGGACTTCCACGCAGGCTACGTACACGTCACTGTCTTACACCGAGAGAGACTCGATGCTTTTGTTACTATATACATGAGCATACATTTCCAATGATTTACAATATTTTTCAATGAGGGTGGGATTTGATGTTCTCACTTCTCTTGAGGATAAATAAGATCACGGTGTTACTTCCACGTATTATCTCTTGATGCACTTATAACGTCTGTCTTTACGGGAATTAAGGAGAAGTTTCATAATGATGATGAGGATGATGAGAATATTATGGCGTAGAATGTCTACATTCACAGATCTTGCTCCTTATTCCAAAGCAATTGTCTTCGAATCGTCAGATCGTCTCAGTTCATTTTAATTCTTGTTATTGCTAGTGCTTTCTGTTTGATCATTAGTTGGTTCTTTCTATTAGATCATTAGCTAGCTCTTTTTATTAGATCATTAGCTAGCTCTTTTTATTAGATCATTAGCTAGCTCTTTCTATTAGATCATTAGTTAGTTTTTTCTATTAGATCATTAGCTAGCTCTTTCAATCAGATTATTAGCTTGAAATTACAAAGGTACAATAGAATTTTGTCACGCGAAGTGAAGCAAAGTAGGATAGAATTTGGGCGGTGTGAGAAAAGAGTTGTACAAAATGGAAATAAGATGAATGTGTGGTGTTTTTTGTGGAATGGAAGACTTTGTAGTGGAGGAGAGTGGAAAGGCTCATTGGAGTGGTGTGAAGAAAAGATTTGTACGAAAAGAAAGGAAGTTTAGTGTGGCATTTTTTTTGTAGAATGGATTGGAGTACTTTTCAATCAAGGAAAGTGGAAGGGTTTATTGAAACATTGCAAAGAAACGAGTTGCAGCAAATGGAAGGAAGATGGGTGTGGTCTTTTTTGTAGGGTGCGGTGAAAAACTTTTTTGTGGTGGAGGGTTAAATAGGGCCGAGTTGAATATTTGATGAAATAAGTTACGCCAACATATTGTGGAGTGGTTACCCTCAGAGAAATAAAAATATGATGTTCGGGTCAAGGGGGGGGGGACTTTTGTTGAAAAGAGTTATTACTACTATTATAATTATTACTATTATCGTGTTATATGTAGTCAGGATAACCAAATCCTGAGATACATAGATAAATTTTATTCAAACACGGTAACCTTGTCAACTTACTCTTATTTTCTACAAGGGCGTATGACTCAGCAATGTACAATGAACATAAAAAAAGGTACACCATTACGTACATGCGGGTAGCCTCGCCTGTGAAAGTTTCTGGTCATCAGTTGATTTATAGAACTATGGTTGAAATAATATTATCTATTTAACATTATTTACACAAAACTTTCGTGAGTCGGCGCATTGTCGCAATTTTGGCGCATCGTCACAATTTCGGGGCATTGTTGCAATTCGCAATAGTTTATGTTAATTGAATCTTTTTTTGCAGTACTAACGACTGAATTAACAAGTAAAAATTGTTCGGTGCTGAACATTCCACATTTACTAGTATTGCTAAAAAAAGTAGGCTTTTCTGTTGACTTCTTAGGCCTGGTTCAAATGTCGAACTTTATATGAACCAAACGCAAGAGATAATGAGGAAGTTCATCTCATTTTCTTTTGTCTTTAATGCGTTCGGTTCCTATAAAATTCGACGTTTGAACTTGGCCTTAGTCTATGATTGCAAATACTCGATCTGAATTTCAGAAGAAATATTGTGCATCAGGTGATCTTCATTCTTAAATTTTTTCATAAATTTTATACACAGCTGCTCACGTTTGCATTCTTAAGTTTGTAAGTTTGCCAGCAAAATTGCCTCTTCGCAACTCTTTTTCATCTATCTATAATGAACTAGGAATACAAAACTTGAGTACCAGAAGAAATAGTCAACTGTGTATCACAATGTATCAAGAAAAAACCGTCTAATTCCTGTCTATGTTGTTCATCTTTTTCTTGTAACCAAAGCAGTGCATGATTATTCGAGACAC